ATAAACAACAATAGATTTTCGAACCTCGAACCATGTGATCCGCAGTCCCGTGAGGTATCCACGACACCTCTACTCTACAATTAAGTGAAAAGATACATTTGATGTCAATGTAGTACGTTGAGAACTTTTCAAGACTTGGTGACAAACGGAAGACCAAATGACCCAATACCTTGGACTAGCCCTTTAGTCCTATGACAGGATGGCAATAACTCCAGGGACCCGTTTCACAAAGCCTTTTTTCAATGACAAATGACAACAATCAGTGACAAATCTGCTGATAACCAATCAGAAGCAAGGATTTCAGTAGCTTATACCAAAAACTGTAATTTGTCACTAATGACAAGTTTTGTGAAACGCCCCCCCCCCCCCCCCCCCCCCCTGATGACTGCCCGCTGAGAAGAGATTCATGAAGGGGTTGTTCTCCTCAGTATAAGATCCACACAGTCATAGCATTGCATGGGACAAGAGAATGTGGGGGTGCTGTTCAGAGTCAATTTGTATAACCCTTGCAAATTCATGTTTTTTCAATAAATAAAAATGAAATGGGGGTTGGTTAAATTAGGGCCTTTGTTGAATAAGGATGTAAGGTTTAATATGTCACTCTCAAGAAACAAATCTGTATAAATATATCTTTCACATACTGCACTAAGTTAAATCATTATAAAACTTGGTAAGGGTATGAATCATTTGCTTGTAAACTGGACACTGTGTATTACTATTCCTTACCAGTTTTGTGTAATACACAGATTAAAGGTATAAAGACCAGTTTTGGAAACACCCTCCTCTCAAAAAAAAGGAATGGAAGCTCTTATAACCAATCATGTGAAAGAATATGTTTAGACTAATACGTGACCATACAAATTTTGCCGAGAAACCACCTACTATTTGATATATTTGGTAAATTATTATATCTATTAAGACCTGATAGATATAACGCATGTGTCGCGCATGCGTGCGTAGTCCCATTTACATCTTTCTGTGTACAGTGCTTGTAACTTTACCAAGACTGGGCCAAATTTCTTATCATTTTAATGATTCCAGAACCTTGCAGTACACACCAATACTTATATGCTAGATGATCAACCTTTTCTGATCGATTCCACAACGTTTTTTTCACAATGCAATCGCATGCCCATGACTGGTCTTTATCTTTAACGTCAATATCCAACATGGATAATATGCATACCAATTTCAATGACATTTCTATGCAATTCAGGGGATGCATAACAAGCATCAAAGTGTCAAAAAAAAAAAAAAAAATTCAAAAAAATTATAAAAAACATGGCGTCCGAATATTCAAGTATTTGCTTGTAAGCCTGGGAGTATACTCGGGTACCTCATTACACTGTTGTGCACAGTCTTAGTTTCGGGACACACTTCTAATATTCCATACAGAAAACAAATGTACATGTATAATGACGAAATTTTTTTGTAACATATTTCTGCTTCTATCATGAATTATTCTGTTTCTCTTGTCACTAACTTTAGGAGGTTGGTAAGCCTCTCACTGAGGTAATATTTAAAGAGTTATTTTAAAGCCCCACTTTCTACTTGTAGCTACTTGCTCCCTCTATATAGAAAACTTCCCCAATCGGTGCCTGTTGGTCCCCCATGATCCTCTATTTCTTATGTTAGTTGAGAGCTGAGTTAATGCGAAAGCCACCTGTCAGTGACCTTGCTGTGTGGTCTAATCCCTTCTGGCCTAGTAGTATTGATGGTCTTTAAGAGTCTAATCTAACTTTGACACATCACATTTGTTTTTATAAACCCCTTGTCATTTACCAGTATTCTTGCATATTTAACTAGTTCACTAGTAATTTCTCACTTACAAACTATAGTCTTGGGATATACAAAATCCACTATTAATCAAATTCTTTGCGAAAGTTTATATAATCATATTAAAGGACAAGTCCACTCCAAAAATAACTTACTTTCAATAAAAGCAGAAAAATCAGACAAAACATTCAAAAAAAGTTTGAGCGAAATCGGATCATTAATAAGAAAGTTATGAATTTTTGAAAAAGTATGTAAAACTATGGAACAATGAGAATCACAGCACAATTTGCCAAGATGGTTATCAGTTTGTGACGTCATGTCCTCACAAATTATCAATAGCTTTATATAGTTAAATCCCATTAATTTCCCTTTTTATCCCCCAAAACTTGATTTCCCCATGCCTTAGCCCAGGTTATATGATTTGTATCATATTGGGTGCATGACATTTCCCAAAAACTTTTATGAATTTTAAAGAATTTATACTTTTTCTGAATATTGTATTTCATAATTATTGATTTTGATATAAATAGTTTATCAAAATTCAATTTTTCATGATTTAACTGGACAAAAATTACTCTTTATTTCTGCATCCACACAAACAAATTACTAACAATCTAACTTGGATGCTGGTGTGAAGAAATAAGATTCTTAGGGTGAAAATAGGAAATTTATATTATCAATATAAAGAAAACAATTAGTGGATAGTGAGGACCATACGTCACAGATTCATGAGTGAGTTGCCAATTTGTGTAGTGATTTTCAATTTATTTCATGTCATTAAAAATGTATAACTTTGTTATTAGTTATCCGATTTTGCTAAAACTTTTTTGACTGGTTTGTCTGATTTTTCTGGTTCTATTGAAAGTAAGTTATTTTTGGAGTGGACTTGGGCTTTAAATAAAGAATTTGAATGAAATAATTTATATGAATCACATACTTAAAAATAGCATTAACCTTTAATTGAAAGTTGGCAAAGTAGAAGCAGAAAAATACATCAGAAAAAAATTCATGAAAAAATAAGAAGAAAGGTTTAGAATTGTAAAAATTGAGATCATTAATTATAGAGGTTTTCTTTTTATAAGTTCCCACTTAACTGATTTTTCTGCTTCTACTCGAGGCAACATTTTATGAAAAGTCTGGTAGACTCAATAAAGCATGAGACCTATTATACTGTGTAGCTGGAAATCGACTTCATGCATACGGTAGTATTTTCACACTTGGTAAAGTCTAAAAACAACATTGACTATGAGAACCTCACTACTGACATGAATGGAATGATGAATGTTTTGATGCGAACAAATCATGGAATGCGCAACTTGGATGGATGTTCAAAAAATAAGATAACATGTGCCCCAACAAGAATATAGCAGCACTCAATCCTTTTGGCAATGATTATGATCTATAACAATCATTGCTTTGTAATAACTTCACTTCATGGACTCTCTTATTATTGCCAAACTCTAGTTTACTAGGAACTATTATATGTTGCAGTAAATTAATTTATATTTCAGAGGACTTGTCGATTGGTATTTATGTAAAAACAACACAAAACAACTTAACAAATTTAATCCTGCATTTACATGTATATTCTCATCAATTAAATTCAAATGCATGTATTCAGAAAGTTATATTCATGTGACGAAGAATTATTGACAACACCATAGATGCAGACATAATATACATTTTGACTAAATTAAACAAACAAATGTACTGAATACATAGAAAATGGCAAGACACTGTAAATCCGAAAATGAAATATATACAAACCTGTAGCAAGATCTTAATGAAAAATAGCACTGTAATACTGTCAATATTTACTGAATACAAAAACCCTTTCCTGTTTCTGATATTTAGTACTCCAAAGATAAAACCTAACAAATGATCACTGCATTGCAAGACAAAAATATGGTTGCATATATATCTGCATATCTCAGAAACAATGCAAATTTGACAACACACCACACTTCTTGGAAATCTTAGGGTAAAAACTGTCGGCCGGGGAAGTTAACTTGAAAGATGAAATGCATAATAACTCTCAACCAATCATAATCATTTAGGTTTACTTTCATAGAATTTCATTTAAAGCCCCATTTACACATTACACAGGAACCTATGAAAAAAAAATGCATACACCTAAAGTATTCACTGTTAAGGCCCCCATTTTAATTTGAAACTTAACATTGCGTCATTAATATTTTCAGAAGCGCATGTATTATTGCGTCACTGCCTGCGTTACGCGTTCACATCGTATTGACACATGCGCTTTGAATGCTGCATGAAACAAAGTTACTCGCAATTTAGAATGGAGCCCGCCCTTGTCGGCCTGTATCTCATTACACCGATCAATATCACTTATGGGCCGTTACAGATTAAGTGATTACTCTTTTTACAAACCCTCTTGCCGATCTTTTACACACAAAATAGTTTCATATTGCCATGTGAGGATTGTTTGAGGCAGTTTTCTGCATGGTGCATGAATGAGCCCCAGTAGCATTCTTTTTATCTTATTTATTTATCTATTCATTTTTTAAGATGCCAAACTGCACAATTGCATCAACAAAAAAGGAACTTTTGATCATGTAAATTTGTCTACAGCTTAGTTCATCAAATATTTGGATGCAATTTGAATTTTCAAAGGTAAATTAGAATAGCAGATTAAATTGTATCCTGTGAAAAGCATTAAAGGCATCGTTTAACAATGTTTAATCTGAGATGCATGGCCCTACGTGTTATCAGTGTATGTGATATGGTGTAATATTGAAGTCCAACAAAAATTTCCAATCATAAATATCTTGATAATCAGATAAGCGATTGGCTTGTTAAAAGTTATGGGGTTCCTGACCATGACCTAAAGGTTAATGATTATCGTTGCAGCATGAGCAAAATCCAGTATTTTGTTTCAGAATGAAAGACAAAAATCCCCAATCTCTTTAACCCTATATAGCCTGGGGGGGGGGGGGGGGGGGGGGGGGGGGGTTAAGACCCCCCCCCCCCCAGCCGCGAAAATGTGCATGCATGTCAAGTAAAGTGTATACAATACTATGGTAATTTCAACTTTTAGTGAAAAATTTACTCATTTGGAAGAGCCAGGTTATTCCTTATGTTATTTATTTTGATAATTTTTTATGTATTTCATTGTTTTCTTAACCTATGTAATTTTTTGTTTTTGTTTTTTTGTTTCATTTCTAACTATAATTCAGCTATTCTGACCCCAAAACAAACACTTAGACTATAAACAAAGACCAATTTTTGTTGGAAAAATTATATTTCCATATGTTTTGTACACAATCACGAAAATGAGCGATTTTCGGGCTGACATGCAATGACAAAAAGTCATGTGACTTTGTAATGGTAGGTCCGATTTTTCGCAAAAATTTGTATCAAAAGATGCGCAAGACTTGAAAGAAAAAAAGTCAACAAATTTCAGAGCAAGATTCTTTTGAGTTAAAAAAAATTATTGTGGAAAATGTAGAGGGGGGGGGGGGGGGGGGATTCTGAAGCCTTCCCCCAGGCCATACAGGGTTAATGGATGTAAACAAGAAATCAATGCACTGTGCAAATGACTACCACAGGTCCTGCAAAAATTGTAACTCTACAGTCAAACCTGCCTAAGCGACCACCTGTTTAGACTACATTTTTATGTTTCCCTTGAGTGGTGTTTATATACAGGTTTCCCAGTATATAACTTCATGAGAATGATTTTCATCATGAATACCATCATGCCGCGTGTACGATGCTAATTTCCTTTGGCAAAGGGATCACCTTTCATCATTAGTTATATTAATTTTGTCATGAAGAATTTTCCACCTATAAATTGTGCATGAGCAACAAACTTTCTAACAGCTGACCCATCTAAAACAGACAATTTTAATAATTTTATAATGCAATCCATTGACCAATATGATAGTGGAGTTCCTCTGATATCATATACTGTCAATGTATAACTTTCTTTAGTTATTGTTGGCATCTCTATCAAGCTTACAACAATCCATTCATGTGTAATTTTAATGTAATTGATGATTTATGTGAAGTATGTCTGTATGTATATATGAATAAATCAAAGCACACCATTAGCAATATTGGATAACAAACAGCATACAAAAATGCACATGCACAGGTAGCTCAAACAATTTGGTTTCATCTGAAGGCTGGTCTATATTAGAGAATGGCACTGAAATCACAGGAATGGTTGGCTTGATCATGTGATCTATCACATGACTTGGACATCAGGTGGGTTATGAATCACCTGACCTCTCTGACTCTCATTTGAATGCTGAAATCTAGTCTGGTGTGATCTAGCCTCTGACCTGGCATGGCGTGGTCACATGATCCATCACAAGATGAAATATCAGGTGGTATATGAATCACCTGACCACTCTGACTCTCATTTGAATGCTGAAATCTAGTCTGGTGTGATCTAGCCTCTGACCTGGCATGGCGTGGTCACATGATCCATCACAAGATGAAATATCAGGTGGTATATGAATCACCTGACCTCTCTGACTCTGATCTGGTTATTAGAGTCCAGCTCTAGCCTTGTCTGTGCAGCTGGTTTCTGACCGGGCAAGGTGCTGGTCCCTGAGTTGGTATGGTTTGCTGACCGCCGACTCTCGCTCCCTGATCTAAACATTGCCAGTATTAAGGAAAACAAATGATAAATACTGCAGCACGATTTATCAGAGTGATCTATCTTCTCAACACAATACAGAAGGTGGAGATTTGTTCATGAACGAATATGAAGGATCTGTTTGTTGTATACAAAAACAAGAGTAATTCCGGGGTCTCTTTTGAATACCTTTTCATTTAGAGTTGTATGAAGAATACATTATGGATTGATTACTAGATGGACCTTCAACTGCACGCAGGTTAAAAATGATGCCTCCGCCAAAGAGGGATTTTACAAACCAAAACAGAAGCAATTTTATAAAAATTCAAGTTTGACAGGTTTTCAGAATATCGTCAGTACAAACTATTTTTCATATTCATGAATGACCCTTTCATTTGGCTCTGCAAGATACATACGGTACATTTCCTGAGTTTGATAGTCATCTGACCATAGGTTCTAATGATAATGTGATCACAAGCTATTTTTGCATACCAGGGGTGATAGTGGGCATTATATTCCACACACTAAGAATCTTGCTCTACAATTGGTCAAAAGTAAATCATGTGAGGAAAGATAGTTCGCTCATCATTGCTGGGAGAAGCAAAAAGTTTGTTACACTGTGTAGATAGGCTACTATCTACACAGTGCAACGCACTTTAATTGTTTACACTGCGTATTGCTCTCCTCTTTAAGCGCTTTAAGTGTCATTACGCAAACTTTGGTCACGCGCGAACTATATGGTCACACCGCCATATTGCATACACTGTACGTATCGTACATCGTTTGCTAGCTGTTAATTGATGACTTGTTGCTCTAAAATAATGGAAGAAGTGAAACGTTTTGGATTCAGGCGAGGGGAAACTATCACTTCCTCGGCGATCTGAATGTATACGCTATCTTTCCGAAGCGAATAGCTACATCCAGATAGCCTCGGAAGTGATAGTTTGTCCCATCACTTTCACCAACGGTAGTTATTTGCTTACTACAAAAAAAAATGGGTGTTTTTTTTCCACCCCCCTCCCCCCTTGAAAAAAAAAAAAAAGGGATTCGGTGGGGAAAACTAGATGGAACTTCGACTGTGCATAGTCGAAAGTGATTCCTCCGTCATAGAGCAATTTTACAAACCAAAACGGAAGAAATTTGTCAAATTCAAGTTTGGTTGTAATCCATTAACAGGTTCTCAGAATATCATGATTACAAGCTTTTTCTCATACCAGTATACATGTATGACCCTTTGATCTGTGACCTCATGACCCCAAGTGCAAGATACATACATGTCTTGAGTGTGATGGTAATCCATTCATCGATTCTAATGATAATGCAATCACAAGCTATTTTTGCATACATAATGAGCCCCATGACCTTTGACCTTGACCTCATGACCCCAAAATCTAATCAGTTCATTGTCTCAGCAAGATACATACATAATAATAATAATAATAATAGCTAGTTCTTATTTAGCGCTTTTACATGTCCTGAGTTTCATGGTAATCTGTCCATCTGTTCTAATGATAATGTGATCACAAGCTATTTTTGCATACATAATGAGCCCTGTGACCTTTGACCTTGTGACCCCAAAATCTAATCAATTCATTGGCTCTGCAAGTTACATACATGACCAAATTTTGGTAGGAATCCATCAGTCGGTTCTTGAGATAACGTGATCACGAGAATGCCTCCGGCTACTTCGTAACGGAGGCATAAAAATGGCATCTTACAACATTCCGCCCCTTTGAGTAAAGAATCTTGGGGAAAAAATAGGGAAAATAGGGTAAATAGAGAAAAATATGCAAATAAGGGAAAAATTGGAACAATAGGTGTAAAATCGGGAAGAAAAAAGAAAATATGGAGAAGAAAAAATATCTGGAAAAAATAATAATCAGGAAACTGATTTAAATCGGGGTAAATAACAGGCCTGGCATACATAATGAGCCCTGTGACCTTTGACCCCAAAATCTTATCAGTTCATCGGCTCTGCAAACTAAATACATGACATAAGTTTTGCAGGAATCCATCGATCAATAACGCGATCACAAGCTATTTTTGAATACATGAGCCCTGTGACCTTTGACCAAATGAACCAAAATTCTAATCAGTCATTACCTCTGCAAGATACATTCAATTTGAAATCCCTACTTTATTCCTCTCTCTATGTGCTGAATCTATTGATTTTGGCGATCATGTTGTTCCACAACTCTCTGTTTAATTCACAGTTAGCTCTAAACTCTGATCTTTCACTCCTCTCTCCTCGAGCCATCTCTGCAGACTATCCAACCATTTTACTCTTGATCTTCCTCTACTATAATAATACTACTACTACTACTACTACTACTACTACTACTACTACTACTACTTCTAATAATAATAATGATAATAGAATAATAATAATAATAATAATGATAATAATAATAATAATAATAATAATGATAAAATGATTATAATAATAATAATAATAATGATAATGATAATAATAATAATAATAACAATAGTCTGTTCTTGTAAAGGGCTCATGTCTGTCAGATTTTACACTCCTGACGCTCCACAATTATTACGCTGGCTTATTAAAGATGAAGTTGAGTTCCGGTCATGCGATTGCATTGTGAAAGAAAGGGTGTGGAACCGACCAGAAAAGGTTGATCATCTAGCATATTAGAATTTGTGTGTATTGCAAGGTTCGGGAATCATCAAAATGATAAGAAATGTGGCCAAGTCTTGGTAAAGTTACAAACACTTGCACAGAAAGATGTATATGGGACTACACGAACACGTGGCGTAAAAAGCCGGCCCCCCGATTTTTACGATGTTACATGCATATTTAGAATATGAAGGCATTTGAAGAGCCATGCTTTTCAGGGAACATGTCTTAACTGATTTTCTTCCACACTTGCATAATAAGAATGGTAACGCTCACAAATTATTTTTCACCTCTTCCCAGAACTCAACCTTCTCTTTAAGCATGGCTGCCATAGTGGCGCTCTAACATTTCAAGAAACTAATTCCTGCCAGGTACCCATTTACCTCACCTGGATGGAGTATTGCAAACGTAGATTAATGTCTTGCTGAAGGACATTAGTGACGTGACAGGACTCGAACCGCGAACCATGTGATCCACAGTCTGATGAGGTGTCTACCAGACCACGACACCTCCAATGTTGGACTTCCATTAAAAACCATGGCTATGAAATTAATTTGATTACAAAAGGATACAAGGTTGGGTCTAGGTCAGCTAGGTTCAATGCCCCACTCATCCGATGTTTTTTCAACCATTCATTGAGTTCTACCATTCTGTTGTGGGTTTCAGAACTTTGGTTTGTCGATGTGGGAACTGGTCTGGAGGTGATTGGTCCTTGCGTCCTGAAACTTTTCAGTTGGTCCCTGAATAATAAACATACGGTACTCATTACTGTCAAACACAAAACTTTCAAGGTCATGAAATGTTCAAGAGCTGTTCAGATTTGATTCTAGGAAACTACCCCTAAAGCGATCCCAAGAGGAAAATCGCCAGCAGAGTTAAAGGTAATACAAAGTTTTGGTATTAGGTCATGAATTTGGTTCAATTGAACATATTGGAAGCATAATGCGATCCTACAATCTTCAGTGGTCGTTGTAGCGGTTGAAATCGAATATAAAGTTGTGAAATTGTAAATAATGAACTCTTTATGTTGTATAGCTCCCTCTCAAGGTCAAGATATTAATTAAGTTATAAACAATGTTTCTTGACTAAAATCGACAGATTAGCCATTCCCGTTTGGAAATTAAATATCACAGCTACATATTCTGAGATTTTCATGGTCGCAGCTACCATTGTACGGCCGTAGGCGCTATTTGAAATTAATCAAAATTTACCGGGAGCACCGGTAATTTTTTTAATTCAATTTTTCTCGAAAGCAGTACTTTAGGGGCTAAATTTTCTAGTGCTTTTAACACATCCACAGGGGCATCCAAATATATCAAAATTGTAAAGAATCACTGCCACTCAATTTTCAAAATTTCCCAAAACTTTGTATTAACTTTAAAGTACCCCTTAGGTACAGGCAGTTGCCTGAGGGTAATCTGGGATAATTTTTCCTTTTGTACACAACAAATGTGGTAAATAAAACCTTGCCAGTTGCAAAATTCAAATTTGAAAAAGAAAAATGACTTAAATTTTTCTAATAATGAATATTTTGCCACCATTCTTTTAGGAAAGTTTTCAATGATGATGTTTTACAACATTTTAGCACTTTAAGAAGTTTTGGAAATTTTCACCATGCAAATCCCTGCAATGTACTTTATTAAAAAGGTATGCTTTTTAGGAGCCTGGGTCCTTACATGTACAAAAACTTTGGCCAACTTTTTAATTTTCTTTGTATGTATTAAATGCTAGATAAATAATATACAGAAGATCCTTGAAATCCTACTACCGTTAACAATTCAGTGAGTTGTAAAAACGCTGTAAAAAATGAAATTTACAAAAAAATGCAACTAAACCAAAAATGAAATGTACTTCTGGTGTCTGTGGTTTTCATTACACAAGAATAAATAGATTAGAATACCTAGCTGAGACGTAGCCTCCAAAGCTTGGTTTTTCATTGCCTGTCACAGGAAATCCGGGAGCACCTGTTCTTCTCTCATCTAATGAATATGAAATAATAATAGTAATAATAATCTGGATTTATATGATGCTTTATACGAAATAACTTCTCTAAACGCATTAATATACATTATTACCTCAGTTATCGGTTTCATTCACCCACAATGTGCTCTCCATTCCCTGGGGAGTATTCCTATCATATGGTCACCGTGAGGGTATATGGCAATTACTAACACAAAGGCTTTCTTCATTCTACCGGGTCCCCATTTCTCTCCTGGGTATAGCGTGGCAAATGTAGGTTGCCTTGCCAAAAGACACTAGTGCCATATCAGGGATTGAACCCACAACCCACAACCACTCATGGCCACGACACCTCAACATATTACATTTAAAGGCATACTGGGAACACCTGGGAAACACACAGTGTCTCAAAATGAAGTAGAAGAAAACAGTTTACAAACTTTTAAGACATCAAAAGACCATTCAAAAACATGTAATCAAATGATTGGAGGCTATATGGTCTATATGTGCAACTGCATGGGGTAAATTCAAAGGGAATGTATCTCACATTTCTCAAGATAATGAAGTCCATCACAGATACAAAGGTATATCAGGCTGTCATTGACAAAACATGAATTCAATTGAGCGCCTTATCATGCCGGGTAGCTCGGCTAAAGCTGGGATAATAATATGATTGCACGTCCTCAGTCCTCAGGGAGAACAGTATTAATACTGCGTAAAAAAGACATATTATTGTTGTTGTTGTTGATGTTATTTAATCGTGATTATTATCATTATTATTATTTATACAACACCTATGTGGATCCTTGTCATTTGATTGGAGGATTGTTGGTCACATGATATTCAATAGATGTTCTATTGCACGGGCGTGCATTTTGGGTTATATGCGCCATGCATTTTTGGTTATATGCAGACTGCGTACCTCTCTGCCGTGCGCGTATCCCTGCGTGTATCTGACGCGAAGGCAATCTGAATGTAATCAAGAAGGCTTGACTCCAACTTTAATTTATCTTTAATATAAGGAGTAAGCATAATTTGTTGATTAACGTTCTATTAGGTCTTCTTCGATGTTGTATAAAACAAATAATGAATGTTTTTCATTCATTTAATAGTGCGAATATTTTCATTCGTTGAAGGATTAACGTTAATTCTATTCAACTCGGCTGACGCCTCGTTGAATAGAATGTTAATCTTTCAACTCATGAAAATATTCGCACTATTGAACTCATAACCATTCATTATTTGTATACTATTTATCTGTGTCTTACCTCCAAAATAGTTCCTCCACTTTCTGCCCATGGCTTGTTCGGCAGACTCCGCCCCATATCGTGGATTGACTGGATCAAACACACCCCCTCCTGCTGTATACGGCCTCTCAGCACCACCCCCTCCAAGGCCACGCCTACCAGCTGATGAATATTCATAGCCCTGTGCAGGACCATGGTACGGGCTTGGCTGGCCATAGTGGGCGGGTCTAGAGCCAGTGGAAGGCACTGAATATGAGGTACGAGGTAATGCTGACTGTGGGGCTGGTGCATATAATGTATGAGGGTTTGCATATTCATGAGGAGGGTGGGAGTAGGGTACATGGGTACCGTTCTGAAGGGGGATTCCCCGAGGAGGGGAGAGTGGGTAAGAACTTTGTGTGGGACCAGCTGTATTGAAGGAAAAAAAATATAACGGGTTACATCATATCTTAACCTAACCATGTCAGTAAGTTCACACAAATGTATCACAACTCAGAATATGGATCTAAATCACATTATTCATGAAGACTAGTGACCTTGCTCTTTTTGTGATTTGCAGGTAGTCCAGTATCTATCTTCCTCTTTGCAATTTGTCTCCTTCTGTATATCACTTCTATTCAATAAATGATACAAAGCAACAACAAATAAAATCTTTTTTTTCTTCAAATTTCCAAGCAATCCCTGTAAAACATTCTTTTTCTCCACCAAGCCTAAAGCTTTACTCACTGATGCAATACTGTTAAATTAAAACTTTGGCCATGGCCAATACTCGCTCTCCTCCGTACAAGTAATGACTGCGATATGAATTCAAGGGATTAGGTCCTCAATAAGCAGCTCTTGAAAGGTACTCGAATATCAACATTTGTGGGAGTTTTACAAAATCAAACAGGCTTCATTAAATTTGGACGTGCATTTGCGGTTATCAGTGACCGCGCGCTAGATCTATACATACGTACATGTACCGGTGCAAGGAAATTTACTTCACGGTGTAAAATATTGGACTGACATCCAACGCATTAAACCGAAACATTTCAAGGCATTTTGACATCCGCAAATCTGGGCTCTGTTTCATAAAACTTGTTATAAATAACAAGTCATTAAATGTTATAAGCTACTGAAATCATGCCATCTGATTGGATGAGAGCAAATTTATCATAGACATTTTGCATTTGTTATTGATAACAAGTCCCTCAAAAAATTTGCAAATAATTCATACACCCAATTAATTTTTGTCTCGCCTGCGTAGCAAAAAACGAGACATAGGCGCCTTTTTTTCCGGTGACGGCGGCGGCGTCAACATCAAAAACCGAAGGTTAAGTTTTTTAATTTTTGATATAATTTTTAAAGTATAAGTTCTTAGTCAATGAAACTTTGACTATAGGGTAATCAAGTATCCCCAATCATGTGGGGAGAATTTCAGATCACAAAGTCAAGGTCAAAGGTCATTTCAGGTCAACAGACTTGGACTATGTTGTAGCATCATCATCATCGAAAACTTACCTAAGGTTAAGTTTTTGAATTTTTGATATAATTTTGAATGTATACGTTCTTAGTCAATGAAACTTGGACTATAGGGTTATCAAGTCTCCCTAATCATGTGAGTAGAATTTCAGGTCACTAAGTTAAGGTCAAAGGTCATTTAAGTTTAACAAACTTAGACTTTGTTGTGGCATCAACATCAAGATTTTCAAAATGCTCCTTCGTTATTTTTCAACCGATTTTGATTCTGATCGTTTCATATGATAGGGCTAGGAGGGGGATCTAAAATTTCTACACAGAATCATGAAATTCATTATCTATGCTAATTTTTGCAAATTTATTTGAAATCACAAAAAAGGCTTCTTCTCCTTCATTTCTTGATCGATTTTGATTTGCGGGTTTGCTTTATATCGTAGAGCTAACTTTGGTACACTAAACTTCTACACAGAATTTTGAACAATTATGGTAATTTATGCAAATTTATTCCAAAAATAACAAAAAATTGCTTCTTTTCCCTCATTTCTTGAACGATTTTGATTTGGTTTGCCTTATCTGGTAGAGCTAAATTTGGAACACTAAACTTCTACACAGAATTGTGAGATTTTGCTCCATTGATTATTTATGGTACTTTATGCAAATGAAATGAAATTCTGTCCCTTCCAGGGCATCAAATTTTTATTTTTTGACCAATTCAAAAGTGTACCACATAAAATTTACGATATTTGTTGTTGCGAGATGCGGATGAGCGCTACGTCATTGACGTTCTGGTTTATCATATTGGATTGCGTTATGCAGGCGAGACCGCCGAGAGCGTTTCCCTCGTTTTTTTTTTAATGTTTAAGAAGAAATTTAAACAGTAGTTACCTGGTGCATCTGAGAGTTGCTCACGCTGATTGAGCACAGTCATAACATTCTGTAACTGAGTGTTTAGATTGTTGAGAGATAAGAAGATTTTAGATGATTCATCTTGCTTCATCCCTTTCACTTTCTTCTTAGACTTGTGACCTCCGGTATCTGATTGACAAAGATTTATACACAATAAACAGTTTTTTTCAAGAAGCACTTTATAACATCCATTGGAACAAAATGCTGGAATACTGTCCCAAATGATTTGAAGTTGTGTCAAACAACTTTAAATTTAAAATAGAAATAGAAATCTTATCTGCTTTGCAATGGCACTTAAAAACCCAGGTCATGCATGTAAACTTTCTTTCTATTGTTATGTATCTTTCTCTCTCTCTCCTCCATGATTTACCTTATATCATTTGACAGTGGGATTGCCCAAGATAAGCCTTTATTTGGCTTTTGGCGATCCCCCTGGCACAGGCAAATATCCAAGTGTACAGTAAGTTCTTACCTTCTCCTGTTCGTATGTTTTTTTTATTGTTCAATTGTTTAATTATTAAAAATATATATTGTTTATCCTCTGTAATTTGTATATCATGTATTTTTATGAGTTATATTGCATTTACATGTCGTTATCTTTGAATGTGGAAATTAATTAATGAAATGAAATATGTATATATGCAGGTCCTAGGTTCAAGCCCCAATGCAGCACGAATGAAAATGTCTATTTACGAGACATTCATTTAAATTTGCCACTCTTTACCCAGGTGTTGCATTGGTATTGGTAACTGGTAGGAATGAATTCCTTGAATGCAGTAAGCTAGAGTTGGGCTAATATTGGGTGCACCTACATGTCGCACCTGTTATGGTCAGTATGAGCGTTATTATCCACCATCCGTATCAAATCAGACTTACTGTTGTTTCTATGAAAACAGTGTTTCCCCTACTGTACAACTTTACTCATGAATAGACATTTCCCTTATCATTTTACAGACTAGTCAGCTGTTTGTCTAATCGACACAAATCAGTTTACAATTAATGCACAATATGTACATATTCAAACAGCTACATGTAAGTGAGATATTGTAACAACCCAAACAAAATTGGTTAGCATAATGTCTGTCAATGGAAGAATGGAAAATCTACCTGGTTTATAAGACTCATCACCACTGATGCTAGTATTGGTCCTAGCACTGCTCCCTGAGGAATCACTCAGAAGAAACATGGTGTCTTGGTTTGCCTCCGAATGCTGACCTAGGTCTCTACCCCGGTACATATCCTGAGAATGATAATTTTATACACAATGACCTTTGAATCAAATTCACACTTTTTAACACTTCAGTTGTCTTCTTTGCCTCTCTGCAAGGTCGCTTGTTTTCCAAACGTAAAGTTTTGCACAAAACAATAGGTATCAATTGGTAGAAGGATTAACCTTGCACTGGAAATGGCTTACATAAGCTTTGGCAAGACATTTATCTACATTAGCCACACTCAACCCAGGTCTACTATGTGTGTACCTCGTATGAATTACATCTTTAAAGGGAAAGTCCACCCCCAAAATAAGTTGTTTCGATAGAGGCAGAATAATAAGAAAATCAGGTGAATGAAAGTTTGAGCAAATTCTGAATGAAAATAAGAAAGTTATGAATTATTGAAGTTGTGATCAATCAAATACAAATTGGCAACTCTGTGACTTATCATACGAGCTCTCCTTCATTTGCTTTGTGCATAATATTCCATAAAATCATGTTTTCTTTGTTATTGATGACGGAATATATATTTGTTCCTTGCAGGGGGAGTACAGAAACATATTTGCAATTATGATATTTAGGGTGCATGTATGGTTGAAATTTTTCTTGAGGGAAAATGAAAATTTTAGATTTTTTTAGTACTGAGCAAATGGAAGTTGAGCTCGCATGATACGTCATAGAGTTGCCAATTTGTGTTTGATTGATCACAACTTCAAAAATCCTAACTTCCTTATTTTTAATCGGAATTTGCTCAAACTTTTACTGACTTGTTTCTCTCATTTTTCTACTCCTATTAAAACTAACTTAATTTCAGGGTGGACTTCCCCTTTAAGAAACTTGAAGCTAGATGTATGATATCATAATGTGACAATCATACACAGCATATTATCATCATGAACATTGAAAGATATGGATTTACACGCAGACATAGGAAAGTATGATGTATAGGAAGGACCTACCTTATCATTCAGAGACTCTTCTAGTTTCTTCAGCTTATGTTCCTTCTCTCTCACAAGACGACTTCCTGTTGTATAATTCACCAGGGCTTTGTCAATCTCCAGTGCTTCCTGTTTAGGGAAAAATGAGGAACAGACGATTAATCAAAATTATTATGAGATTTTCTTTTTGGCTTAATTGTATGAATCATAAATTTGACTGATAACATCTTCCAGCGTGATGGGTATTTGGCTTTGGACGATAGATGCAAACAGCCTCCACTCAAGTGCTGATAAATTGTATATTGAATGGAGGCGCAGTAGCTTAGTTGGTAGAGCAGTGGTCTCGTAATCCGGTGACTCCGGTTCAAAACCAAGTTGATGCGCTAGTGCCCTTTAGTAAGGCATTAATCCTTATTACCAGGTCCCTCGGAGAGGACATAGAGAAGTCAGTCCCCTGGTTGCTTACTTACAAGCATTTATGCTTACCTAGCAGTCAGGTGAAATAGCCACAACTAAATTACCAGGCATCGTTTGTCTATTAGCCTTTTCTCTTACACTCGCCCAGCCTCAAATCTTCACAGATCAAAGTTGCTCCCGTTCTATTAGCCTTTTCTCTTACACTCGCCCAGCCTCAAATCTTCACAGATCAATGTTGTTCCCGTTCTATTAGCCTTTTCTCTTACACTCGCCCAGCCTCAAATCTTCACAGATCAATGTTGCTCCTGTTCTATTAGCCTTTTCTCTTACACTCGCCCAGCCTCAAATCTTCACAGATCAATGTTGCTCCCGTTCTATTAGCCTTTTCTCTTACACTCGCCCAGCCTCAAATCTTCACAGATCAATGTTGCTCCCGTTCTATTAGCCTTTTCTCTTACACTCGCCCAGCCTCAAATCTTCACAGATCAATGTTGCTCCTGTTCTATCAACCTTTTCTCTAACACTCGCCCAGCCTCAAATCTTCACAGATCAATGTTGCTCCTGTTCTATTAGCCTTTTCTCTTACACTCGCCCAGCCTCAAATCTTCACAGATCAAAGTTGCTCCCGTTCTATTAGCCTTTTCTCTTACACTCGCCCAGCCTCAAATCTTCACAGATCAAAGTTGCTCCTGTTCTATTAGCCTTTTCTCTTACACTCGCCCAGCCTCAAATCTTCACAGATCAATGTTGCTCCTGTTCTATTAGCCTTTTCTCTTACACTCGCCCAGCCTCAAATCTTCACAGATCAAAGTTGCTCCCGTTCTATTAGCCTTTTCTCTTACACTCGCCCAGCCTCAAATCTTCACAGATCAATGTTGCTCCCGTTCTATTAACCTTTTCTCTTACACTCGCCCAGCCTCAAATCTTCACAGATCAATGTTGCTCCCGTTCTATTAGCCTTTTCTCTTACACTCGCCCAGCCTCAAATCTTCACAGATCAATGTTGCTCCCGTTCTATTAGCCTTTTCTCTTACACTCGCCCAGCCTCAAATCTTCACAGATCAATGTTGCTCCTGTTCTATCAGCCTTTTCTCTAACACTCGCCCAGCCTCAAATCTTCACAGATCAATGTTGCTCCTGTTCTATCAACCTTTTCTCTAACACTCGCCCAGCCTCAAATCTTCACAGATCAATGTTGCTCCCGTTCTATCAGCCTTTTCTCTAACACTCGCCCAGCCTCAAATCTTCACAGATCAATGTTGCTACCGTTCTATTAGCCTTTTCTCTAACACTCGCCCAGCCTCAAATCTTCACAGATCAATGTTGCTCCCGTTCTATTAACCTTTTCTCTAACACTCGCCCAGCCTCAAATCTTCACAGATCAATGTTGCTCCTGTTCTATTAGCCTTTTCTCTTACACTCGCCCAGCCTCAAATCTTCACAGATCAATGTTGCTCCCGTACTATTAGCCTTTTCTCTAACACTCGCCCAGCCTCAAATCTTCACAGATCAATGTTGCTCCCGTTCTATTAGCCTTTTCTCTAACACTCGCCCAGCCTCAAATCTTCACAGATCAATGTTGCTCCTGTTCTATTAGCCTTTTCTCTTACACTCGCCCAGCCTCAAATCTTCACAGATCAATGTTGATCCCATTCTATCAGCCTTTTCTCTAACACTCGCCCAGCCTCAAATCTTCACAGATCAATGTTGATCCCGTTCTATCAGCCTTTTCTCTTACACTCGCCCAGCCTCAAATCTTCACAGATCAATGTTGATCCCGTTCTATCAGCCTTTTCTCTTACACTCGCCCAGCCTCAAATCTTCACAGATCAATGTTGATCCCATTCTATTAGCCTTTTCTCTAACACTCGCCCAGCCTCAAATCTTCACAGATCAATGTTGATCCCGTTCTATTAGCCTTTTCTCTTACACTCGCCCAGCCTCAAATCTTCACAGATCAATGTTGCTCCCGTACTATTAGCCTTTTCTCTTACACGCGCCCAGCCTCAAATCTTCACAGATCAATGTTGCTCCCGTTCTAGGATCAGTGTTTGTCTCTCCTCCTTCTTATCTCTCCTTTCAATCAATAATCCTTCCATCCATTCAATAATCTATCACTCAATATCTATCTATCAATCCATTTTATCCTCTAAATCTTACTCTCTCAAATCCTGCTTCACATCATTATAGATCGGTAATGCTCCCTAACCCGGAAGCTCTGTTTTCTTTGTATCCCTTCCTCAGATCCCTCCTCCATTTTCTTTTCTTTCTTCTTTCTATCCATCCCTCCATTGCTCCCTCCATCCATTCCTTCCTTCATTCTTACCCTCTCTAATCCAAGCCTCACATCCTCATAGATCATTGTCGATCCCTTCCCAGGATCTCCATTCTCCTCGTATCCATGTCTCAGGTCCCTCCTCCATCCTCTATTCTATTGATCCCTCCATCCATTCCTTCCTTCATTCTTACCCTCTGTAATCCAAGCCTCACATCCTCATAGATCATTGTCGATCCCTTCCCAGGATCTCCATTCTCCTCGTATCCATGTCTCAGGTCCCTCCTCCATCCTCTCTCCTCCCATCCCTCCATCCATTCCTTCCTTCATTCTTACCCTCTCTAATCCAAGCCTCACATCCTCATAGATCATTGTCGATCCCTTCCCAGGATCTCCATTCTCCTCGTATCCATGTCTCAGGTCCCTCCTCCATTCCGTTTTAGCATCCTCCAAAGCAGACTTCTGCTGGTTAAGCTGTCTCTTCTGACGCTTCAAGAAATCTTTCGCCCGTCGAATGGCACCATTCTCTTCCGTTAGGCGTAGACGAAGATCACTGAAGCAGATCAAATATTTTCATTAAAATATAAAACCACTAGTAATTTTTTAACAAATTTGAAACAAATTGAATGAATAGGAAATAAACATATTAAATGAACATCAATTTGAAACTAAAGGTATATTCAAAGAATGGTAAAGTCCTCTTCATGCTCACTGCATTCATGAGCATCACATTTCTGAGGTCGATTCAAGTCTACATCTTTCTAATGATTGTCCCACAAGGAAAATATATTTAGGATTTATTGAAATCAAATTATATCAAAAACCAAGAACAAACAGTCCGAAGACTGACACCTGTCTTGGGTACAATATAAAAATTAAATCAAGTATACATAATAAAATAGCAGTAACTATTACATAAATAAGTTACATAAGTTAAAATATTGAATAACGATCATCACCAAATATTGCAAAAATATTTACTCTATATTAGTGCAACCACACAAAACAGATTGCTATCAATATAACTTGGATACATGACCCAAGTTTGGCGGTAATCCATCAATCGGTTCTTGAAATAACGTGATTAAAAGGTACGGACGGACGAACAACCAGAAAGCATAATGGTCCGAATTCACAAAGGAGGTTTAAATTTAACCCATGGTCTAAAATTAGCGCAAAATAAGCAAAATGGTACGCTTATTTTGCACTAATTTTAGAACATGGGTTTTGTTAATGAGGGTTTCAACCATGGGTTAAATTCAAACCTCCTTTGTGAATTCGGGCCAATGCCTCTGGCTACTTTGTAGCGGAGGCATAAAAAAAAAAAAAAACTTAATTAACTAACATCAACAAATATTATGCCTTTTGTGTGTTTTTGTGCAATTAATTTGACTAAGATACTAAGTTGGTTATACTAGAATGGAATGATACATCTACTAACCTTTTGACCATCTGATGCCTGGCTGTCGTTTCATCAAACTCCTCTGATGCGTCAGAATCCAGATACTGCCATGCCTGGCGCCCTCTATGTCTCGAAGGGAGCGGCGGATTATACTTCTGATCATCCTCATCATCATAGGTAGCTCTCTTTCCTCTTGACCGGTGAGTAGTGTGTCTCCTCCCTCCAAGCACCTTATCATAGTCATCCTCATCATTAAGCTCTGTAAGAAAGCATGACATTAAAGACCGTCAATACTACTGGGTCTGAAGGCATTAGACCACCCAGCCAGGTCACTGACAGGTGTCTCATCAACTCAGCTCTCAACTAACATAAGAAAAAGAGGATCATGGGGGACCAACAGGCACCGATTGGGGAAGTTTTCTATATAGAGGGAGCAAGTAGCTACAAGTAGGACAGTGGGGCTTTAAGAAAATTGTAGTCTTCAATAACATACAGGATGCCAGTCAGTTTTACTCACTGGGCCTGAAAAGAAGCCAGAACACGTAAAAACCCCATATGTGCTGTACAATATAAAACCTGAAAAAGCCTGAAATGGGAAGTTGTCAGGGCCTGAAATCAGGCAAAAGCCTGACATCTCTGAACATATTAATAACATCACCAGTAAAGCTTAAGTAAAACTTAAATTGTATCATAATGTGAAAGAGGATGTCGTTTTGCATTTTGTATCCTTTCATCCTTGCAGAAATGTGTCTTAAAAACTACATCCTCTTTCGCATTATGATACAATTTTAATAAATTTTCTATCAAATTTTTTGGGCTCCCAACCCTTTAAGAGGGGCTTTAAGCTATTTTCATATTTTTTTTATGTTGACGCCGCCGCCGTCATCTGGAAAAGCAGCGCCTATGTCTCGCTTTTTGCTACGCAGGCGAGACAAAAATACTTCAAACTGTAAATTGATTTGTCTTAGAAAGCAAGAAAAATATAACCCTGAAACTCTTGAGAAAATGATTAATGAGGAGGCGCTATAGCTCAGTGGTCTCGTAATCGGGAAGCCCCGAGTTTGAAATCAAGACCTTAAGCTGTTGGTCCCCTGGTTGTTTACTTACAAGCATATCCATGCTTTCTTAGCAGTCAAGTAAAGCAATCCTCAAACAAACATCCTCAACAAATTTTAGCAATAGGAAAAACTTGATGTCTGTTTTCAATGAAAATTAAAAGAATCCATGACGAAAAACTTGTTGTTTAAAATTGAAACCCCCATTAGACTTTCACCACTTTTAGAGCTGAGATTGCAGTAAGCCTAAAGTAAACCCTAGCGCTATGCAATCTAATTTACCCAGCCTAGACCTCGACGGGGTGATAGAGAAAGAGATAAGCATTGATAGAGGGAGAGAGGAAGGGAGAAAGAGTTACTTGGCTCTGCAAGATACATACATGACCTAATTATGGCATACAGACGCACGTACGGAGGGACGGACAACCCCAAAACATAATGTCTCCGGCTACTTTGTAGCGGAGGCATACAAAAGAAGAAGAATAAATGTTGACCTCTTGAGAATGGAGCATCACGTTCTGCAGCGGGTGACTTTGGCAGGTCTCTGGGATGTACCATCTGACGAACATGTTTGGTAGGGGAGGGCGTGAGAGGGTCAAGCTCATTCAGGTCTAATACATCCACATCGGGTGTGTCAGGAACGTCTACCTTCCTCCTGGAGCGGGCATGGTGCGGTGTGGAGGGGTTGTCATGGTAACCGTTGGTCATCTCTCGGTCAAGTCCTGAATTCAAATGTCTGTCATAAAGATAAAGATACACATACTACACTTGGTGATTCATTGCGATCATACAAAATGAATTGGATTTCAGTTTAGTTAGAAATACATAGAAGAGCAGAACAGTTAACAATATGGAAGATTTCCCAACATCACAGGTAATACAAAAATATAGGATTCTCAACCTAGACTGTGCATGCAGAGTTGCAGACTGTCCACTTTTCCCTCCGTCTGTTTCTTCAACTCCTCCAGTTCTTGTAAAATCCTTTTCTTTTCTCTCTCACTCCCTTTCTCTATCTTTCTCTCTCTCTCTCCTTCCCTCTCACTCTCTCTCTCTTTCTCTCAAATATGTTGGTTGTTACCAACCTGGACTGTGCATGCAGACTTTTCACTTTTCCCTCCGTCTCTTTCTTCTCCATCTCCAGTTCTTGTAGCATCCTTCTCTCCTTCTTGATAGCTGCAACCAGGTCGGCTCTCTCCTTCTGCATATCCTCCATGTAAGATACGTCTCCACTCCTTCCTTTCATCTCAAGAACCTCCTGTAGCCAGACAATGCAAACAAACAATCAGGGGCAAGTTTCACAAAGCCTTTTTTCAATGACTAATGACGAAAATCAGTGACAAATCTGCTGATAACCAATCAGAAGCAAGGATTTCAGTAGCTTATAAGAAAAACTGTCATTTGTAACTGATGACAAGTTTTGTGAAACGCCCGCCAGAATACAATATATCAAGAACAGGTTCAATGAAAAAATGGCGATGATGGCTCCATGGTCAGTTTCATACACTATCGGTTTTTAACTCAAAGGCATGTTTTAACAATGTTAAATCAGAGATGCATGGCCCTACGTGTCATCAGTGTCTGTGATATGGTGTAATATTGAAGCCCTAACAAAATTGCGCTTCAAAATGATCATGAAGTGTCTCGAAAAAGTTAAAATCTTTGAGTGATCGGTTTTATTATACTCATTTTCCCCAATAGACTGTAATGTTATAAAAACACTGTTGTGTATCTGGCGAGCTCCTTTCCAATTCGCTCTGTACAAAAAGTTTCATAAAGTTTGTCCTCCTTATTGATGACATTATAATTTTTTTTCATACAGGGGTGACAAAAACATGTTTGTAAAAATTGTATTTAGGGTAAATGTACGACTGAAAAATTTCTTTTAAACAAAAATTGAGATTTTTGAATTCTCTTCATACAGGGCATATGGAAGGAGACATCGCAAGATACATCACAGAGAGTTGACAATTTGTTTTTGATTGATTGCACCTTCAACAATTCATAACTTTCATATTTTTAATCGGTTGTCAAATGTTATTGTATCTACAGCATATGTATGTAGCTCATCTTTGTCCATATGCTCAGTACATCCAATTAACAACTAAATCATTCATACTACTTGTAAATCTTATGTTTTTTGTGTTTTTCATAACTCAAGAATGAAAGGTAGACTGGTTGAATTAGGGCCTCCGTTGAATAATTGTAGATGTAAGCTTAAATACTGTTCACATACTTCAAAAATTAAAAAAATTGTTAAAGGGCCACTCTAACCCAACTAACATAGCCTTTCAAAACATGAATACACCTCTACTTATTAATATTCCAGCCTCTGATTTTTCAGAAAATCTATAAATTGGCAAAAAAAAATGATAACAGCCATCCATTTTTCACAGTTCTCACGCTTGCTGGGCTACGCCCCTCGAAAAAAGGTAATACGGTCAAGTGGCTTGATGACTCATTTGTTGCATTGCGGGCATGTCCGATTTGATAATTTCATAATTAGGAATGACGAAATTGCCAGAAACATACTGGGATTATCAATTGCATATTATTTTTCGGATAAATGTCTTTTTTTCATATTTAATATCATAGTTTGCCTTTTTAAAGACATTTTAATGCCTAAATCACCCTCCTGTTCACCGGAGAGGGGCCTGCAGTGGCGTCAAATGCGTCATCACTGAAACTGGGCTTTTTTTCTGCGCGTTCTGAATCATCATTTTTAAAGCTAGATTCCAGAATTATTGATGATTTCTAAGAAAAATCATTGTCATGTTCGGAATCTCTGTCAAAAATTGTTCTACATGACTTTTTTTCATTTTATAGCCCGTTTTGTTTAGAGTGGCCCTTTAAAGGTAATACAAAGTTTTGGTATGGGGTCATGAATTTGGTTCAAATGAACATATTGGAAGCATATGCGATCCTACAATATTCAGTGATTGTTGACGCGGTTGGAATCGAGTCTAAAGTTATGAAATTGTCAATAATAAACTCTTTATGTTGTAAAGCTCTCTTTCAAGGTCAAGGTATTTATTAAGCTATAAAACAATGTTTCTTGACAACTAGATTCTGAGATTTTCATGGTCGCAGCTACCACTGTGCGGCATCGGTAAATTTTTATATTCAATCTTTCTCCAAAGTAGAAGTGTTTTAGGGGCTAAATTTTCTAGTGATTATAATACATCCACATGGGCATCCAAATATATCAAAATTGTAAAGAATCCTATCAAACCAATTTTCAAAATTTCCCGAAACTTTGGATTACCTTTAAGGGTGAAAACAAAATTAAGTTGTTAACTGTATGAAGTTACCTCCTGATCATGCTGCAGCTTCTCTTTCTCTTCCTCAAGTTTGCTTCTCCTTCTAGCGATCTTCTCTTCCTCTCTTTCAAGCTCCTTGCTTTGTTTCTCTAGGACCTTCTTTCTCTCACTCAGGGACTCACTTACCTGTAGAATAAGTAAAATGATGATAACAGTCACATCTGTATAGTGCTTAATACTACATTTCTAAGCGCTTTCAGTTTTACATTTTAATCTTGATAACCCCGGTCATTGGATTCAGTTGCTGATCTGAACCTAAAAGTACTCATGCTCCTCTCCCTGGGGAGTATTCCAGCCAGGCGCCATTTCACGAACGCACACATGCCAATCCAACCACATCAACTTTCACATCCTGGGTAGTGAGTGGCAAATGTAGATAAATGTCTTGACAAAGGACATTAGTGCTGAACCGGGACTCGAACCATGAACCATGTGATTCACACTCCGGTGACGTATCCACTGGACCATGATACCTCTACAAAAATAAGTAGACATTTCAAATTTCCATTCAATCACATACAATGAATGGGTACTTGATTTCTCGACTTATTTCTTAAATTACAAGGAAGAAAGATGAACTCTCTTCATTATCCACTGGAGGTGACTTGGTGTACATGTAGTGGTTTATTTACTTCGTCGGCATTATTATGAACCAACGAATCCATATACAGTATATATGCATACTTGCCAACATTTGAAATTCAGAAAACGGAACGCACATCGCAAATCATGTGCCGTATGCTGCGACTGCACTACATGTAAAATACGTATCTCGCATATAAGGCTGGAGTCATGCGGTGATCATGAGCGATAGTGCTAGCGCGACGCGTGCACGCTGTGCGGTGCCTATGACTGAGGGATTGTGCATGGCACTCTATGGGCACTAGACACGCGGGCTCCTTATTACACGTGGCAAATAGAGATCAGCGTGGCGCGCAACAAGCACGCTGCACGCATCTTGCGCAATACAATCCTTCCAGCACTCATCGGATCGAAACTATGGAAAGCCAACTGGTATTTACACTACATGTATAATTCCCCAAAATCGGAACGTTCCGTTTTTCATGGCTCTAAAAACTTCAAAAACGTAACAGTTCCGTTAGAAACGCAACGGTTGGCAAGTCTGTTTATGACAGACTCATTGATTCATAATACTGTCAAGGATTTGGATCTCAGTCAAAGGGTTGAGGGTTTGAATCCTAACCTTGCACCAACATCCTTTGAAAAGACATTAATCCACGTTTGCTACTCTCCAGGTTAAATATGGGTACCCGAAGCAAGAGAACTTCATATTTGGCCGTTTGGCTATGACTTGGGTTATAATGTTGGGAGTGCCACGACATCTAATGCAGTCTTCAAAGTTTTGTTGAAGACGTACCTGTTTTCAGGAGCTTTTGAATGGATTGTTTATATTTGGTATTGTGTGTCTGTAAAGTAGCACTGTTAGGAGTTTTGTTTTCATTACAGTGCAGTAAAGTATATTTATGTAATAGCTGAGCTACATAAATTGATATAATTATTAATATAAGATATTGCATAAATCCATACCTGCCAACATTTGAAAATAAGAATTAGGAATTTCGAAAATAAGAAATCTGTATCCTTAATAGACGTTAACACATGAAGCTGCAGTGTAACTGGCAACACGCGTTAAATCTGTACAAACTAGATGGAACTTTGACTGCGTGCAGTCGAAAATGATGATCGGGACGTACGGACGGACGGACAACCCAAAAACATAATGCTTACGGCTACTTCGTAACGGAGGCATAAAAAGCGAATACAAATTTGCTGCTCATTCATGCAGCCATTCAAGGCACGCAATACGTGAACTCTCAAATCGCGGCACAGGATTAAAGAAGCTTAATTAGGCTTTAGCAACAAAAACAAAAAAACAAAAAAAGGAAAATTGGAAAAATCAGAATATTCCAAATTTGGGAAATCAGAATATTCTGGGTTATTTGGAAGGGTTGGAAGGTATGTAAACCTCTTTATTACCTCTTTCAAAGCCCTCTCCTCATCTTCATGACTGGTATGAAACACTTCTTTCTTCTGTTCAAACTCCTCTTTCAGCACTTTGAATCCTGATTTATGTATTTTCACCAGTTTCTCCTTCTCTGCCTCATGCTGCTTCTGCAAGGCTTTCTTCTCATCTTGTTCCTAAAATGAGGAGACGGTGAGAGAGAGAGAGAGGAAGAGAGAGAGGAAGAGAGACAGAGACAGACAGAAAGCGAGCAAGAGAGATGGAGAAAGAGAGAGAGAGAGAGAGAGTGAGAGTGAAACAAATTGCAGAAAATCAATAATCACTATAAAGATATCGTCGGTGGGGTGACAAAACCTTGTATCTCAATTTTTTGAGATTTTGATTTTTTTGCATAATTTTGTAACTAATGGCCTACGACACCACCTGATAAATCCATGGAACGTCTCCTTCCAGGTTTTTTTACAAATTCCACACAAACACCCTTAAACTAAACCTCGTTACTTTAACCCCCTTTGAAGCTGCACTGACAAAACCTTGTAACATAAGATACGTAATTCCTTTTCCTCTTAACTGACACACGGCGTCGGCCTAACAGTACCGAAGTTAGTGTATTCAAATCCTCGTAACTCATTCAGAGTTGAAAGTAAGAACTCGTATCTCAATTTGAATAAAAACTAAAAACTTGTATCTCAATGTAGATAAACGCAAAAACCTCGTAACTCACTTTCAAATATAAAAACAATTATTTTACTGTATTTCTACAATGACATTAAAAATTGTATAAATATTCCAGTTTTAAAAAGAAAGGACGGTGTCACAGCACTAAATTTGTTGAGACAGGAAAGTTTTTCTTTCTCCTGAAAATTCATGATTTTTGAGATGGTTTTGTCACCCACCGACGATATGCTCTTTAACCAATACCAATACCATTACCAATACTTATAATCAAAAGTCTTTCCTTGTCTAACAAAATGTTACATTTTAAAACAAATTATTGGACAAGGCCGCTTTTAGACTGAAAAATCTAACTTAACATATTCCTATCGTACTATCTCTTTTGTGAAATGAAATAAAGCTATATTACTACCCATACATGAAAATAAAAGTACCTTGGCTATAAACTAAAATTAAGCTCAGGTGAAAACAATAAGACATACAATGATCAATATAAGATACCGTTTCAATATTTCACAATGCTAAAAACTACTAATTTCTAAAGTCTTGTTATCATTATCATAGGCTAAATAACCAACAATAAAAAAAAGAATTTAAAAAAAAAAGAAGGAAGAAGCAAATTGAACTAAAATGGCAAAAATGTAACATAGAACAAATTTCTTATGTATTTACACATAGAAGGGTATCCTTAGAAAGCGGTTTCACTTCCCTTGGGATTCATTCACACATCAAACAGTTTTTACTTTGCTAAAGCTGTATTTTAGCTGTTTATCCGATTGCGAACAGGGCCTACACCAAAGTACATGTATATTAACGCCCCACTGTACTATTTGAAGCTAATTGCTCCCTCTATATAAAAAAATTCCCCAATCGGTGCCTGTTAGTCCCCCTAGATCCTCTTTTTCTTATGTTCATTGAGAGCTGAATTGATGAGATAGTCACATGTCAGTGACCTTGCTGGGTGGTCTAATCCCTTCTGGCCAAACTAGTACAGATGGCCTTTAAACTTACTGCATCTTGGAGCTCTCTGGTCATATCTCTGATCTTCTTCTCATGCTCCTTCTTCATCTTCTCCATCTCCTTCTGATGCTCCTCCTTCATTGCTTGTCTACGTTCCTGAAGAACGCTATCCATCTACTCATTCAAAACACAAAGGGGAACATGATCACAGCCCACACAGCGAAGACTATTAAATATGAAAGTGAATGAAATGCCCACCAATTTTTGTCTCAGAGAATAAGAAAAAGACAATCATTTAATTTTTTGGAAAACTATCAATACATAGTATAGGAAATGAATGTATGAAGTGAACAACACCAAAGGCTTGTGTCCCGCCACCGCACTAATGTCTTTAGGCAAGACATTTATCAACATTTGCCACACTCCCCGGAGGTGAGGTACATGTAAATGGGTACTCAGTAGCAAGTAATTCCTTAATGCTTGAGCCGAACACATGGTTATTAATATAATTGCAGGGCCCTGGGGGGGGGGGGGGGGGGAGCAACCTCGGGTAAACAAGACATACTATTACCATTATTATTATTAACATATAATAGATAATAGAGGTGTCATGGTAGAGTGGATATGTCACCGGACTGTGGATCACAAGGTCCGCGGTCGAGTCCCGCCGGGCACTAATGTCCTTTGGCAAGACATTCAGTCATTCACTAACATTTGCCACACTCCCCTGAGGTGAGGTAAATGGGTACCTGGCAGGAATTAATTCCTTGAAATGCTAGAGCACCTAATGGCAGCCATGCTAAAGCCAGGGTAATAATTCCCAAATGCTCTTTGAAAGCGCATAGAGACGTTAGAATGTATATGCCGGTAGAAACTAAATATAAACCAACTTACTATACTTTCAAAAGCAGTTTATAATATTTGTCATATCATGTTTGACTTTTAATAGCAAACAAAAATAACTGATTTGTTTTTCTTCTATATTTATCAAAAATGTATTCTTTTATATACTTTTTTTTCTGTTCGTATTATTTTTCTTAATTAGAGCTCGTTTGGATTTCTCGCCTTCTAACCTATTTGTTTATATATATGTGTATGTTTTATTTAACTTTGTATGTCAATCATGTTAATCTATAATGTATGTTACTTTGTGAAATTGCGATTGCTTTTTATATGCACGGCCATGCTGAAGAACAGCCATTAGCTGAAGTATGCCACTGTGCTAAAATAAAATAAACAAACAAACAATATGCGCTATACAAGAACCAAATTATTTATATTACAATGAAATACTAAATGTAGTAGAGAATGATGAATCTTACCCCTGTTTCCATGTCTCTAATAGCAGCCTGATTATCACGACTCAATCTCAGCTTCTCTTCCTCTCTCCTTTTCTCTTCATCCTGATTCTCACGCAGAGCAGATAAAATATCATCCATCTCCTACACATACAAATAAATAATACAGTGAAACCTCATTACAAAGAACTCTCACCAGCTTTAACGACCACCTGTATAGAAAGACCACCCGTCTATAAAGACCACATTTTTGTCTCCATTGAAAGTGATTTCTCATTTACACATAAACTAATGGAACCTGTACAAAGAGACCACTTGCATGTAAAGACCACTTTTATTGTTTCCCTTGGGTGGTCTTTATATGCAGATTTCACATGCAATATAAAGAGTGGAGAGCAGCAAAAGTTCCTTCTTTTAATAGGATTTTGTTATTATTATTATTATTATAACAAAATCCTATTAAAAGAAGGTACTTTTGCTGCTCTCCACTCTTTATATTGCATGTTTTTAAAAAACGATTATTATTATCTGTGTTAACTCTGATAGAAAAAGAACACCAGGTCCTGCCTAATAAAATGATTAATTAGCAGTACTAGATAATGTGTCAGTGTGGAGGTAAGATAAAAAGATTGATGCAAAAATAACTTCTTGATTAAACACCACCCTGCCAGATGCAACTGTGGTAGAATTCTTTATTCCAAGGGCCTATCTGATTGATATCAATCCCAACTATGTACACAAGAGATAGGAGACTGTAAACTTGCGATTGATTGGAGGACGTCTTTATAAGATGGGGCCTGATGTAACAAATTAAATTCTATAGTGCAAAGTTTGCAGGTAAAACAAGGTCCCTGTTTCATAAAACTTGTTATCAATAACAAGTTACAATAACCATTATAAGCTACTGAAATCGTGGCATTTGATTGGCTGAAAGCAAATTTGTCATAGAATTTTTAGCATTTCTTATTGATAACAAGTTTTATAAAACAGGGCCAATGTTCCACAGTATAACTTTGCAAGTAGATTCTAAAGAGATAACTTTGTGGGGGTGATTTTATTTGTCTCAATCATACAAAAACGATAACAACAACAATTATTGTCAACATAATTTTTAAAAAAGCATTTGTTTTGGAACAAACCCGTTTGTGTCTTTGACTAGCTTCAGTCTTCTTCTTCTCTATCTCCTCATCAAACGTCTTCTTCAAGTCGTCTAGTGAAGCCTGCTGCTCAGATTGGAGCTTTTCTTTCAGCTTATCTAAATCCTAAGGAAAAAACAAATCATAAAATGTACAGTTGCAATACAAGTATGAATCCCTATGGACATTTCCTGCTTTTTAACATGTATTAAAGGGATCGTTTAACAATGTTAAATCTGAGATACACGGCCCTATGTGTTATCAGTGTCTGTGATATGGTGTAACATTGAAGCCCTAAAAAAATTGCGCTTCAAAATGATCAAGAAGTGCCTCAAAAAAGTAAAAATCTTTGAGTGACCAGTTTTACCATACTTGTTTCCCCCAATAGACTGTAGTGTTATGAAAACCGTCAGGCGAACGGTTTTCAAAATTTGTAATTCCAATCATAAATATCTTGATAATCAGACAGGCGATCGGCATGTAAAAGTCGTGGGGTTCCTGACTAACCTTAAGGTTTATAATTATCATTGCATCATGAGCTAAATCCAGAATTTTATTTCAGAATCTGAGACAAAGTTACCGGATCCCTTTAATATACTGCACGGCAAGAGAAATTTAAAGCACATTTATTGTTTTAGCATGAATCTTTACTCCCTATTTTTTTACCAATACATGTTCATGTACGAATTGATTGGCTTTACATTTCAGTAATTCCCATTTATAGGTACACACACACAATAAAAAATGAACTGGCTGCCATATAAAATTATAAAAATAGCATTTTCTAACAGATGTTTCTAAACCCTCAACCTAGGAAATACATGTAGCCTATAATCATATTTTCTAATCTCATGATATTGCACAATTATGTCTTCCAAAATGAAATTAGAGTTGGAGAGTGGAGCGCATGGTAAACTAAATTCTGAATTAAAAGGAAAGACCATTTTGAAATTGTATGAACACCAGTTCTGGTGATGCGATTGAATTGTGAAAGAAACGTTGTGGAATCGATCAGAAAAGGTTGATCATCTAGCATATAAGTTTTGGTGTGTACTGCAAGGTTCTGGAATCATCAAAATGATAAGAAATTTGGCCCAGTCTTGGTAAAGTTACAAGCACTGTACACAGAAAGATGTATATGGGATCAATATGATAATTTACCAAATATATCATTAAGTAGGCGGTTTCCCGGCAAAATTTGTATCACCACGTATTAGTCAAAAACATATTCTTTCACATGAATGGTAATAACAGCTTACATTTCATTTTTTGAAAGGGGAGCATTTCCAAAACTGGTCTATGCCTTTAATATTTTTTTCTTCTTTAATATATACCTTTAATATTGATTTACATGTAGTTACCTAATCAAGTAGTTTCATGGGATGACGAGGATGACACTGGTATTTCATGCTTCGTAAATTACTGGACCCTACATACTGTAATTGATTATTGGTCCGGCCCGGGCCCCCTATTTTAAAGAGCTACGATTGAATCTAATCAATCTGTACTAAAGAAACAGGGTTTTGTGAGTTAATAGTTGATTGTAGGACTTTCATCAATCTATCACAACTCTGTACTAAAAAGATAGGATTTTAGGTGTTTACAATTGAATTTAGAACTTTCATCAATCTCTCATTTGCAACTCTGTACTAAAGAGACAGGGTTTTAAAGGTTTACAATTGAATTTAAGACTTTAATCGATCAGGATCAATCACAAATCTTTATGAGATGGGGTCATGATGTGGTTTAACTAGCTAACAGTGGAAGTTACAAACGGATTCAGCCAAGGACGCAGGTTCGAAGCTGAGTCACGTCTTTCGGATGGTGACGTTTAAAGGTCGGTCCCCAGACGTAAATAATCAAATCTGATTGATACACGTCTGTAAAAACCCAATATACACACACACTGGTTCATATGCTTTTCTGAATACTGGCATGAATGTTAATATCCTTTGGCAAGATATTAACCTGTACTGGCTACTCTTCACCCAGGTGTTAAATGGGTACCCGGTAGGATGCGACCGTCATGGTTGGTCAAACAGTTTATGAGCGTCAAGTAACGCCTGGCTGGAATGCTCCCCAGGGAGTGGAGATTGTGCACACAGTGTGTGCGGGCAAGCACTGAATCCAATGACTGAGGTAATAGTATATTTGTAAAGCGCTTAGAGACATTGTATTAAGCGCTATATAAAATCTAAATATTATTATTATTATTACATGTACCTTTTCATGATCCTTCTTCAAATCAGCCATCTTTTCCTCCTGGTAGGATGCCACTTCCTTCTTGATTTTATCCATTGCTTTCCTCTTCTCTTCTTCCAGTTTCTCTTCTTCTTTCTCTCTTAGATCTCTAACCTCATCTCTCAGAGTCTTTAGTGCTTTATCCTTGTCTTCCCTGATAGATGATGGTACAACATATAAAAAAATAGTCAATATTATCAGCACCGATAATGATAAGGAAAAAGATACTAAATCGAGCCCGTCAATTAAATTAACACTATATATCCACCACTGGCGTACTGGTGGGGGGGGGGGGGGGCTTGGGGGGTGCCAGCCCCCCCCCCCCCAAATAAAATTGAACCATGACTTATTTTCAATTCCGTGATGTATAAATGTTCGTGATATTACATTATTTTCAACAAAATGCGCGTTTCTCCATTTCTGTTGCAAAATGACACATTGCCAAATAGCCAGGAAGAGCATATGTTTTTTTTATAGTCACTAAGGGGCCGTGGCCACTAACAGTAACACTAGTAAAAAAAAAAAAAAATCCTTTCGAGAAGCAACTGTGACAAGCACTGCCGGGCGTTCCATACTTACATCATGTAACACTGCACATGTACCGTTAAGGGGCCCGGTGGGGAAATTTAATTCAGACAAGATTAATAGTAGAGAACGGTAAAACGAATCGTCTCTTTCTCTTATAACTTAATAAAACGGCAAAGCTTACGGGCTTCGCGCGGAATAGGCGAAAATGAATTCAGACAAGGATTAAGAGTAAAAATTTATTGAAACGTCAAATCTTCCGCGCTTCGCGCGGGAGGGAGGGGGGGAATTGGATCCAGACAAGGATCAAGAGTCGGGGCCGGTACAATGAATCGTCTTCTTTCTCAAATAATTAAATGAAACGTCATAGCTTCCACGCTTTGCGCGGGAAGGGACGAAACAAGAATTAAGAGTCAAGAACAGTACAACGGATAGTCTTCTTTCTCTAATAATTTAATGAAGTGTCAAAGAATCCGCGCTTTGCGCGGGAGGGGGAAATGAATTCAGACAAGAACACGATACCACGAATCGTCTTCTTTCTCTATTGTTTTAATAAAACGTGAAAGCTTTCGCGCTTTGCGCGGGATGGGCGAAAATGAATCCAGACATAGATTAAGAGTAATAATTTATTTGAAATGTCAAAGCTTCCGCGCTTCGCGCAAGATGGGCAAAAATGAATTCAGACAAGGATTAAGAGTAATAATTTATTAAAACGTCAAATCTTCTGCGCTTCGCGCGGGTGGGAGGGGGGGGGGAACTGGATCCAGAAGAGGATTAAGAGTCGAGAACAGTACACCGGATCGTCTTCTTTCTCTTATAATTAATGAAACGGCAAAGCTTCCGCGTTTCGGGAGGGGTGAGGGGGGAAACTGAATTCAGACAAGAACACGATACAACGAATTGTCTTCTTTCTCTAATAATTTAATAAAACGTAAAAGCTTTCGCGCTTTGCGCGGGATGGGCGAAAATGAATTCAGACAAGGATTAAGAGTAATAATTTATTGAAACGTCAAAGCTTTCGCGCGGGAGGGAGGGGGGGAGCTGGACCCAGAAGAGGATTAAGAGTCGAAAACGGTACACCGGATCGTCTTCTTTCTCTAATAATTTAATGAAGTGTCAAAGATTTCGCGCTTTGCGCGGGAGGGTGGGGAACTGAAAAATAACTTAGTTCCTGGCCCCGGGTTTATAGCGTTAAATTTGTAGACATTTGGACATTGGCATTAATATATTTGTCGGTAATTGGTTGCTCGTTTTGTCGGTAATCAGTGGCCTCTACACCCTCCCCACTCCCCCACAGAAAAAGATCTAGCGATGCCCCTGATAACGACACAGTTTATACACTCGAGATAAATTTTGCAAGTACTACTGATGAAGTACCGGACCACCGTCTTTGTGCATTGCGCGGCATCAAAGCATTGACAACGTCTCACGACTTGACAGATCACTTTTCTCTAACTTCTAACCAATCAGAAGGCCTCGTTTTTTTCCAGGAAGTGCCGGTGGACATTAATGCGCCAAATATGGTTCTGAAATTGTAAAAGATCCCTACTCTTGGAAGGGGTAGGAGAAAGCAATTTACGTCATATTACTCCAGGAAGTGCCTGAAAATGCGTCTAATTTGGTTCTAGAACCCCCTCCCAGACCCACCCCCGCTTGGTCGCTCCGCTCCCTCGCCGCTAAAGCCTCGTTCTGTCACTTCATCGTTTACACATATTTAACCCCATGCCATTTTGTGCCCCCCCCCCCCCCTGGTAAGAAATTCCTGGATCCACCACTGATGCCCATACCCCTTGGCTTGGGGGGCTCCGCCCCTAGACCCCAATTTGCGAAACGTTCAGCAGGGCCTGCATGTTAGAGTGGGGTGATGCGGATTTTTTTTTTGCCAGCCCCCCAAAAACGTTTTTGCTCATTACGCCACTGATATCCACTATTTAAAGGTTTCGTAGTTTGAAATGCAAAGGCTGTGGGTTCGACACAGCACTAATGTCTTGTGGTAAGGTATTAATCTATATTTGCCACTCCATAGCTAGCAGAGAAATGGGGACCCAGTAGGATGACCAAAGCCTTTGTGTTAGTAATTGCAATATGCACTCATGGTGACCATATGGTAGGAATACTCCCCAGGGAGTGGAAATGGTGGACATTTTTTTTCTTCATATTAAGCGCTATATTAATTCAGATTATATCATTTTCAATAAGCATCACTTATATTAGGCACAAGTTCGGGAATAAGATAAAGGGTTATATACTATTAAGCATTGCCACAAGTACAGAAAGCGTGTATTTGCACAACAGATGCTTAATAAGTAATAAATGATTCCTATTTCATGTTCAATTATAATATGATACCATTATCTCAGTCAATATTCATCAAGGGAGATTAAAGCAACTATGGCAGCAAAAAAACTGTGAAAAGAAAGCAATTGAAATGAGCCATAAAGCCAAGTAAAGGTCATTCAAAATTCTTTCTTTTTTACTTTTGAATAAACAATTTTTTTTGTTTTGAAGTATATTAAAGGAGGATCCATAAAATAATAAACTGCAATTTTACCTTGACATGGTTTCATTTGTATGTGAAAGAAAAATGTCAATGTTAACTAAAATAAAAAAAAACCTTCCTCTTCATACAAAAGAAAGCACAGGAAGCCAGAAATCAATTTATTTCGCCTAGGCTACAACTGACCTGATTTTGTCTTCTGCAACCTGTTGTTCTTTCTTGATCTTTTCTTTAAGTTTCCTGATTGCATCTGACTTTCCTTCCATCAACATGGCCTCCTCCTCCTCGGTGTCCTCCTTTACGCTCTTCCTCAAGTCACTATCAAACACAAGATTCATACAGTTATAAAGTTATCTTCATGATTCACTAGTTACTTGTTATGACATATGTTCCAGACAGAGAGAGAGAGAGACAGACAGAATGAGAGAGAGAGAGAGAGAGAGAGAGAGAGAGAGAGAACATGGACAGAGCTGCCAACATTTGATTTGGGTAATCAGGGAGATTTCTGAGAGAGCAGCATCGAACGACTTCATTGTTGGCGGGAACCAAGAATGGCCTTTTAGTGCCCCTGGTGGGGGGGGGGGGCAGGGGGCAGGCCCCCAAAAGCTCTTGGTTTTAAGCCTCTTTGAAACCCTTTTAGAACACATTTTTTCAATGATTTCTCAAAATGGAAGGCTTTGATATGGCACATTTTATTTGCATACAATTGATAACATATGAACTTCACATCATATTTCAGACTATGAACTCCTGTTACCTCTATTGTGAAATGGGGGATGTACTTGTGGAAGGCAAGGACTGGGGTGTGCTTGAGGGTTTTCCTTGAAGTGACTGGTAGGTTGCTTGCTTGAGTTTGCTAAGGAGGTCCTTGCTATACTCCCTTTGGTAGCATGGGACATCTGTGTTGGCAATTTTCTCTGTTAGGAGTGCTTGAAGTGTTTTCAAATTCATTGATCCCCTGAAATCAGTTTTGTTCTTCCTAACAATGCTAAAAACTCTTTCACATGAAGCATTGGAATGTGGTATCACAAGCAAAGATTTCATCACTTTGCTCAGAAGTGTGTATTTCTTTGAGCCATTGCCATCCTCCATCTTTGAAATTGCAGACCATTTCTTGTCTATTCTCAAGTTTTTGTTCAGGATCTCTGGTTCCCCTGAAAAGTCTTCAACCTGGTATTGTGCAAATTCCAGCTCAAGCTTGTCTTGATGGAGATATCTGCGCCGCAAACTGTACAAAATGCGTAGTATTCGCCTTTCGTAGATTTCCCAACACAAGGCCATTCCAAGTGGTAGTCATCTTTATATTTCTGATAATATTTCGACTTCGACATTGTCCTGGATGATATTTTAATACTCAAACAGAGAGCAAAATACAGCCTTGTTTTGGACAAAGTTGACTTACGCCTTCGGAAGATGCAAGTTATATCGATGCGTTCCCAACGGCAAAGGAGATCAGAAAAAAAAAGTCGGCTTCAAAATCCACTCTGCAGTAACACTGCCATGTTGGTATCAAATGATAATCCACTTAAAAATCACATCGCAAAAGTCCCCAAATCAATCCAAAAACTGATGTTGAAATGTGCAGTTTTTTGGGCCGATCGCAGCAGACAAAGTCTGCTTGTTGTATCAGTGCAACTTCTGGCTGCTCTGACGCGACCGATCGGAAACCGGCACCAACGTACCGGGACGCTACGGGGGCCGGCGAGGAAGCCGCCCGGCAGAGCAAGCAGGCGAATTGCTATCACACAAACACCACTCACATTATCACATGTTCCCAATGGTTTGTTAGATTAGCCCGCCAGTCGTTCGGCGTAACTCTCATTTATTACGCTGTTAAATAAAGTACGATATCACGGTAAATTTATATTCGACGACTGGATAACAGGAAAATTCATATTACAGAATTGCCGTGTGTTTGTATACGTACGTACGAACTCAACATGCTAGTCTTGTGAAACAGTCGTTTATGAAAATAATACAACTTAAAATCTGGAAATCCGGGAGATTTTTGCATGGGGTCGGGAAAACGGGATATTGGGTCAAAATCCGGGAGTCTCCCGCAGGATCCGGGAGACTTGGCAGCTCTGCATGGATTGAGGCCACCTTAAATCCAGACCTTGAATAAAAGAATCAGTGTGTTTCTACAGGAGACCTAGAAAGTAGACCTAGAAAATGCAGAGGATTACATAAGGCTTGTTCGTCATGAAACTAAAGGCTAATCCTGGTGATGGACAACACCTGTTATTGGATAAACACCTGAATGGTGTTAAATTTCCCATGAGAGCCCACTACTATGGTCTTTAATTTTTTTATTTGTTCATCGGGAGTGTCGTGGTCGTGAGCGCTTGACTTGGAGATGCGAAGGTCGAGGGTTCGAATCCCGACATGGCACTAATATCCTTTGGCAAGATATTAACCTGCAATTGCTACTCTCCACCCAGGTGTTAATTGGGTACCCAGTAGGATGCGACCGTCATTGTTGGTCAAACAGTTTTTGAGTGTCATGTAACGCCTGGCTGGAATGCTCCCCAGGGAGTACAGATTGTGCACACATTGACCGGGGTAATAGTTTATCTGTAAAGCGCTTAGAGACATTTGTATTAAGCGCTTGATAAAAATTAAATATTATTATTATTATTATTTACAAACCTGATGCTCTTCTGTTTCTCTTTGTTGAGTGCCTCCTCTTCTCTCTCCTCCTCCTTATGAGCGTCCTCCTTGAGCTGTCTTAGATTATCCTCCTTGTCTTCAAGGAGCTCCAGCTTAGCGTCCTCAAGCTCCTTCTCCAAGCGCTCCCTCATCAGTTTGAGAGATTTCTCCTGCTCCTTCCTTAACTTTGTCTCCTCCTCTTCGAGCTCCCTCTCCATCTCTTCCTTCATCTCTTCTCTCCTGAAGAAATAATGACATGATGCAAAATGTAGTTAAAGATAAAGACCAGTTATGGTCAGGCGATTGCATTGTGAAAGAAACGTTGTGGAATCAATCAGAAAAGGTTGATCATCTAGCATCTAGCATCTGCAAGGTTCTGGAATCATCAAAATGATAAGAAATTTGGCCCATTCTTCGTAAAGTTACAAGCACTATACACAGGAAGATGTATATGGGACTACCCTATATCTCTCACAGACCATGAGAGAAACAAATTTACCAAATATATGAATAAGTAGGCGGTTTCCCGGCAAATTTTTTATTATCATGTATTAGTCAAAACATATTCTTTCGCATGATTGGTAATGAGAGCTTCCATTTCACTTTTTAAAATTGGGGCGTTTCCAATACTGGTCTTTACCTTTAAGCAGTTATTAAGAATAAAACCAATATTGACATCTTTACATTCCCTCATCAGTTTTAGAGACATTTTCTACTCCTTCCTTAACTTTTTCTAGATCTCTTTCTACATCTCCTCTCTCCAGGAAAAAAGAGATATGATGCAAACATCAGTCTAAAGTGTAACAGTATTCAAGAAGAAAACAAACATTTTACAGATACACTCATTCTCCTGCTCCTTCCTTAACTTTGTCTTCTCAACCTTTTCTCAATTTTTCTTCCTTATCTCCTTACTCCTGAAAAAAAAATACATGATGTGAAAATCAATCTAAAGTGGTGTAGAGAGGCCACTGTAATGAAAGGAATAAACAAAGAAACAATGAACTTCAAGCTCCTTGGACCTCTAGACCTCCCTCATTGGTCTGAACCAGTTCTGCTCTTCTGTTACTTTGTTCTCCTATACCTCTGGATCCATCACGATCTCTTCCTTCTTCATCTCCTATACCTCCAGATCCATCACGATCTCTTCCTTCTTCATCTCCTATACCTCCAGATCCATCACGATCTCTTCCTTCTTCATCTCCTATACCTCCAGATCCATCACGATCTCTTCCTTCTTCATCTCCTATACCTCCAGATCCATCACGATCTCTTCCTTCTTCATCTCCTATACCTCCAGATCCATCACGATCTCTTCCTTCTTCATCTCCTATACCTCCAGATCCATCACGATCTCTTCCTTCTTCATCTCCTATACCTCCAGATCCATCACGATCTCTTCCTTCTTCATCTCCTATACCTCCAGATCCATCACGATCTCTTCCTTCTTCATCTCCTATACCTCCAGATCCATCACGATCTCTTCCTTCTTCATCTCCTATACTTCCAGATCCATCACGATCTCTTCCTTCTTCATCTCCTATACCTCCAGATCCACCACGATCTCTTCCTTCTTCATCTCCTATACCTCCAGATCCATCACGATCTCTTCCTTCTTCATCTCCTATACCTCCAGATCCATCACGATCTCTTCCTTCTTCATCTCCTGTACAGCAACCCCTTCAACTTTCCCTGACAACCTTTCACAGCAAAAATTAGGAACCTCTCTAAGCAAAAGTAGGAATACAGCATATTTTATATACTTTTCACACAGAATATTTCAGAAAAAGAGAGGAATCTGGGGTTCACAACAATAATAGTAAATAGGAATCATTCTTAAAGGTAATGCAAAGTTTTGGGAAATTTGAAAATTGGGTGAATAGTGATTCTTTACAATTTTGATATATTTGAATGCCCATGTGGATGCATTATAAGCACTAGAAAATTTAGCCCCTAAAACACTTCTGCTTTTGAGATAAAGTGAATATAAAAATTTACCGGTGCTCCCGGTAAATTTTGATATATTTAAAATAGCGCCTACAGCCGTACAATGATAGCTGCGACCATAAAAATCTCAGAATATGTACTTGTGATATATAATTTCGAAACGGGAACAGCTAATCGGTTGATTTTAGTCAAGAAACATTTTTTTGTAGCCTAATTAATATCTTGACCTTGAGAGGGAACTATACATTATAAAGAGTCCATTATTTACAATTTTATAACTTTAGACTCGATTTCAACCGTGACAACGATCACTGAATATTGTATGATCGCACATGCTTCCAATATGTTCATTTGAACCAAATTCATGACCCAATACCAAAACTTTGTATTACCTTTAAGGATAGGAATGGTTGGCAGCTATAAAACACTTTCGTGATAATCACTTCATGGAAAGTACAGCTCAACATCAAACTCAAGACATTGTTTTAAAAAAAGGAGAGAAAAAGTAAAGACTCCATTACTACATAGAGTTTTGACTTCCATCCCATTGGCAGGACACTATGCTTACTTTGACTCTAAATTCTCCTCCATGCCAGCCTTGAGTTTCTCTTCTTCCTCCTTAGCTTCTCTATGCAGTTTCACAGTGTCAAGTTTGGGAAGGAGAGCGGATGATGACGGGGCCGAGGATCCGAATGGCACTGCACCCATCTGATGGAAATTAAAAAAAAAGAATGATTGAAGTCGGTCTAAAACCAGTAACTCCTATGTGCATGAAATATTTGTTCATTTAGTGAGTGTAAAGATTTATTTAACTTGTGACTTGTCTGGAATTGCCGTTCAGTCTACATACAGTTCGTCTACTCCTTTATGGTCTACATCCAGCCCATCAACTATCAACATTGCTGATAATCATTTTGACTACTTATTACTTGGTCTAATTGGACCATTAAGGCTAATAATAATAATAATAATAATAGTGGCTACTTGTATAGCGCACAGGTCCACCTTTCGATGCTCATGGCGCATAGAGAAAAGGACATGTAACAGACATAAGAAAGAAAAAAAAACAATAAACCGAAAAACAAAATTCGAAATTCTCCTAGACATGGTAAATTAAAATATTACAATATTTACAACGAAAGAAACAAATAAGGTATAATCACTATTTGGTCCAATCTCCAAAAAGCCTACAACCTATTTGGTCTATGCTCATTTAGTCCAACATCCAATCCAGTCAGTCTAATTACCATTTTGTCTTCTATCAATATGGATTAATAATCATTTAATCATAAGTAATAATAGTCATTAGACCAAATGATTATTAGACCATGTGGATAGCAGACAGGCTGGGTGTGGACCAAACGGCAATAAACTGTGTCATTTACCTTTAATCCTGAGTAGCCTAGGTCTGGTACTCGAGGGCTGTCTAAGGAGGAGTCCAGGGATAGAGGAGGTCTAGACGACGGTCCTTTCTCAGCTCCTTTCTTTGAACTCTTCAAATACTGGAGAGGGAGAAATTCAACAAATATTATTCAATCTCTTACTATTAAAAGAGTTATGAAAATAACATTTCCATCTTTATTAGGAAGTGTGTATGAAATCTAATAACTCATATCTAACAAAGAATGTTTTATATAATTATAGTGAATCATCTGTATCCAGGGGCCTGTTTCATAAAACTTTTTCAATAGAAATTGCTCAATTTCTATGGCAAATTTGCTCTCAGCCAATCAAATGCCACGATTTCAGTAGCTTATAACAGTTATAGTAATTTGTTATTGGTAATAATTTTTATGAAATAGGGCCCAGATGTTGTGTGATTGTGTGAGGAAAAATCTGCTAACATTTCATTACAACAAAAAATGGGGATCATCAGTGATTAATACAAAAATAATGAATGAGTTCAATAGTGCGAATATTTTCATGAGTTGAAAGATTAACATTTTATTCAGCGAGGCGTCAGCCGAGTTGAATAAAATTAACGTTAATCTTTCAACGAATGAAAATATTCGCACCATTGGACGAATGAAAAACATTCATTATTTGTTTTATACAACATCGAAGAAGATCTAATAGAACGTTAATCCACAAATTATGCTTTACTCCTTATATTAAAGATAAATTAAAGTTGGAGTCAAGCCTTCTCAATTACATTCAGATTGCCTTCGCGTCAGATACACGCAGGGATACGCGCGCGCACGGCTGAGAGGTACGCAGTCTGCATATAACCAAAAATGCACGCCGCATATAACCAAAAATGCACGACCGTGCAATATAACATCTATTGAATATCATGTGACCAACAATCCTCCAATCAAATGACAAGGATCCACGTAGGTGTTGTATAAAACAAAATAATATATCAAAAGTTTTCTTTACAATCAATTTCATGCAAAATCAGGACAAGATGAATAAGACTGCGTCTCTAGTATGCCTCTGCCATGGAAATCTTGATTTTGATTGCCTGTTGAGCCCTATTACCTCTGCCTACATGATCCTGTGACCTTCGACCTCACAGACCCAATACAATAGGAATGTCCAAGACAACTTGCATGTACACTTGGTTACATACAGCTTGAAATGATCTGGGCCCTGTTGCACAAAACTTACCATTGACGGTAACTACCATCAGATGGAAACCTTGATTTTGATTGGCTTTTGAGCCCTATTACCATGGTAGTTGCCATTGATGGCAAAGTTACCATCAATTGAAAGTTTTATGCAATGGATCCCTGCCTAGATAACCAACCCGGGGGGTGTTTCATAAAGAGTTTGTAAAGTTACGCATGACTTTACGAACGACTTGTATATGAAGTGCCAGAGAGGATGCCCAAAGTTTTTTCTGATATTTCCAATAACCTCAATTAAATTATGGCAAAAAATATACTTTGCATTAAAAATGTTTGTTATAATAAGAATGTTAATCTACATCTGCACAGTTCAAGTTAATAAATAATAATCAAGAATGATTGAGCATCCCGTTTGGCTTTTCATATACAAGTCGTTCGTAAAGTCATGCGTAACTTTACGAACTCTTTATGAAACACCCCCTGATTAGATGTAAATACATCGTGGCTATACAGAACTGTACTCAGAACCGAAGAGCATACACTTACCATTGATTTGGGGGGATCTGGACTGGTAGAAGGCATCAGGCTGTCAGCATCCATTAGACCAAGACGTTTGGACAGGTTAGCATCAATACCAAAGTCCTGAGAGACAGGGTCAAAAAAGGACACAAAAGCTTGCAATGCCTGTACAGTGAAATCTGTACAGCTACATAAAGACCACTCAAGGGTGACAAGAAAAGTGGTCTTTATTGGCAGAGTTTTTTTATGAACAGGTTCCTTTAGTACAAGTTTGTGTGAGAAATAATTGTCAAGGGAGATATTAAAGGTAAAGACCAGTTATGGTCATGCGATTGCATTGTGAAAGAAACGTTGTGGAATCGATCAGAAAAGGTTGATCATCTAGCATCTAGCATCTGCAAGGTTCTGGAATCATCAAAATGATAAGAAATTTGGCCCATTCTTCTTTAAGTTACAAGCACTATACACAGAAAGATGTATCTACCCTATATCTCTCACAGACCATGAGAGAAACAAATTTACCAAATATATGAATTAGTAGGCGGTTTCCCAGCAAATTTTTTATCATCATGTATTAGTCAAAACATATTCTTTCACATGATTGGTAATGAGAGCTTCCATTTCATTTTTTGAAATTGGGGCATTTCCAATACTGGTCTTTACCTTTAAAATGTGGTCTTTATATAAAGGTGGTTGCTAAAGCAGGTTTTACTGTATTTATCTATCAGTGAGATATGTGCACAGGCTCAACAATAGCAAATACATATATAGAAAGAATGAAGATAGTAACAACAATGAGTCTTGCTACATAATCTTGATAATCTTCATAAATGAATCAGACACGACTGCATTTAACCAATCTGATACCTGCCAATCTTTCAAAGCAAAATTAGGAATATCTCAAGGAGAAAAAGAGAGAAATTTAGAGTTCAAAACAGCAGCTTAAAGAGAAGGTTGAGTTCTGGGGAGAGGTGAAAATAATTTGTGAGCGTTATCATTGTTATTATGAAAGTGTGGAAGAACATCAGATATGTTCCCTGAAAGGCATGGCTCTTCAAATGCTTTCATATTCAAAATATGGCATGTAAAAACATAAAAATCAGGACAGATTTTTACGCCACATGTTAGTGTAGTCCAAGACTGGGCCAAATTTCTTATCATTTTGATGATTCCAGAACCTTGCAGTACACACCAATACTTATATGCAAGATGATCAACCTTTTCTCATCAATTTCCACACTGTTTCTTAAACAATGCAATCGCATGACCAGAACTCAACTTTATCTTTAAAGACCAACAATTAGGAATGGTTGGCAGCTAGGCAATACTTTGACTATGAGCTATGAGTGAGTAGAATTAAAAGGGATAATTCTTACCACATTGACATCATCTTCATCACTGTCATCATCGGAGGGCTGCAGATGCTTCAATGCTGGCTCACTTGCTTCTGATTCCTAGCAACAAAACAAACAGCCAATTGATATATTGATATGTAATTAAAAAAAAACACAAGCACCACATTAATGCTATAAAACAAGAGCACCCCAAAATCAGCATCAATTTTCCTGGGACTAAGGGAATTCTTCTCATCAAAAGATATGTATGCAATTGAGTACATGTAAGTACTTGTCACATAAAATGACTGTGACATATTGAATCTGACAGTTTTTTGTTGTTGCACTAAACCTTTTAAAAATAGTCCACATTATCAGTTTATGTTTTAAAGCAAAATTGTACTTGACCCGCTTTTTTAAAAGGTTTACACCTGTAATACAAAGTTTTGGGAAATTTTGAAAATTGGGTGGACAGTGATTCTTTACAATTTTGATATATTTGGATGCACCTGTGGATGTATTATAAGCACTAGAAAATTTAGCCTCTAAAACACTTCTGCTTTCGAGAAAAATTTAATATAAAAAACGGTGCTCCCGGTAAATTTTGATAAATTTCAAATAGTGCCTACGGCCGTACAATGGTAGCTGCAACCATGACAATCTCAGAATATGTAGTTGTGATGTATAATATCCCAACGGGAATAGCTAATCGGTCAATTTTAGTCAAAAAAACATAGTTTTATAGCTTAATTAATATCTTGACCTTGAGAGGGAGCTATACAACACAAAGAGTTTATAATTTACAATTTATAACTTTAGACTCGATTTCAACCGCGACAACGATCGCTGAATATTGTAGGATCGCATATGCTTCCAATTTGTTCATTTGAACCGAATTCATGACCCCATACCAAAACTTTGTATTACCTTTAAGGCAATAAAACAGATGAGAAAGAATAACATGAACTCCCCAACATTGATATGTAATTTTAATTACTCAAGGACCCCACACTTAGCTTGCCTGCACCCTGCAGGGAGTCCAAAGTGAGTGTTTTATGATCTGTGTTCATGAACCATATGTTACAAATTCTGAAATTTTAAGAGTCGTCTTAGTCGCGATTGAATCAAATCTTTCACGAGTCCTCCAATCATTTGCTAGTTTACAGTCTCCTATCTCTCATGTAGAGGTGTTGTGGTCGAGTGGATATGTCACCGGACTGTCGATCACAAGGTCCGCGGTTCGAGTCCCGCTTCGGCACTATGTCCTTTGGCAAGACATTGAACTACATTTGCCACACTCAACCCAGGTGATGTAAATGGGTACCTGGCAGGAAGTAATTCCTTGAAATGCTAGAGCGCTGTATGGCAGCCGAGCTAAAGCCAGGGTAATAATTGGGAGCGCCAGGAGTGTCATGTATGACAGACATGAGCGCTATACAAGAAACCACTATTATTATTATTATTATGTACATGTACATAGTTGCAATTGATATCAATTGCAAGTTTACAGTCTCCTATCTCTCATTTACATAGTTGCGATTAATATCAGCTCTTTATTAGACAGGCCCAGATTAAGATTTCAGGCACCTAGGCACCTGTGTATCATATTGTCGAGCCCTGTTAACGTATTTTACTTTAACGGCTCTATATACAGCAATAAAAAAGAGGAGACAGACATAGAAAGAAAACAAATTAGGTCATTCCTACCTCATAACCAAGCTGACCAATATCTTGAAGGTCAAGAGAGAGATTTAGTCTTGGCGTCGGCTCCTGTTTGACAAAGCAACATAAATAAATGTGATAATAACTGTAGATATATGTAGACAAGTGGGGGAAATTTCTCATGAATAATGCATGAATTTTATTTTTTTTTTGTCAAACTTTCCTCCACTGAACATACACATGTAGGGATAAGCAGGTACTGTATACGATTAAACCTTTCTAGCTTAAAAAATACACACCTGCCTTACTTTCACAGCAAAAATTAGGAATACAGTTTCTTTCGTATACTTTTTACAATGTTTTTTTGAAAAGACGAAACTAAATTTCAAGGCCTGAAAATAGGAATCATTCCACCAACTTAAGAATGCTGTGATGAAAATATCTCCAATTTTCAAACGGTTAAATGACATACATGTAGTGTATCCTGACAATTGTGTAATTTTCAACTTATTCAAACCAATGGGTGCCTGTCATATGTTAAAGTTCAACTCATATATGGAGCATACAAATATATATCTACAACAGTTCTATGACACTTGCTCCAGCGACAATTTCTTCAGTCAATTTCCTACAACAAAAGTAATTCCTAACTTCAACTTGAGACCAAAAAACTATATTCAATCTTACATTAGAAAAAACAACACCTTTATTACAACACTAACTCTAACTCTACATCTTTGACAAAATAAAGGCTGAAATAAATGTCTCAAAAATAAATGAACCAGGGCCCTGTGGGTGTTCAATGAATTTGTTATCAAAAACAAGTTACAACAAATGTCACAAGCTCCTGAAACAGTGGCATATGATAGGCCGAGAGCAACTTTGTCATAGAAATTCAGCATTTGTTCTTGGTAACAAGTTGCAATACCGGTAACTGTCATATGAAATCGTGGCATTTGAGTGGCCGAGAGCATGTTCGTCATAGAAATTCAGTATTTTTTATCGGTAACAAGTTGTTGTGAAAGAGGGCCCTGAAAATATTCATATTAACTTACATCTTCTGAGAAGTCTGGTAACATCTGTATGTTCTCTTCCCTGTTACCGGCTATAGACAATGGCTTGCTATCCAATGACTTCTTGAGAAATCCTGTGTCTTTCATCTGGAAAAAAAAAAAAAAATGATACACATGTACTTTCAATCAAACACATATTTGCATTCTCCGAATCAAAATAAAAAGTCTTCAAATACAGAACCATGAATTCTTGTGAGAAGTATTGAAATGTCAAACAGCTATTTTTGTAGTGTAAATCAACGAGGATGGGACACTTTTGATAGTAATAGTTTTTTCACAACAATCATTCCACAATTTATGGTTTGGCTCAATAACTTTTTATTCAGAGCCCTACAAAATATACCAGATACAGGAGAAGAAAGGGAAATATTTCTCCACACACTGCATCCATTTAATATGTTCCATGAATATATGAAGTTCTAAAATCTTTGATTTGGCAACGCGTAAAGATGCGCAATTTTAAAGACATTTTGACAAATTCTAGCATATCGTCCTTGTTTTCACAAAGTGACGGTAGTGAGGAAAATCGTCACGCAAAGTGAATGCAATTTTTTTTCACTACCGTCACTTCGTGAAAACAGCGACGATATTAATATCGTTTTCAGAGACATTGCATTTTATTCTATAATTGTAGCAATAAAAGACAAATATCATTGTCGTCAATTTGAAGAAGAATATGGGATCCATTGAGCCATAGAAATAAATCCTGTCCTGAAAGGGTTTACTGGATTGTCCCTATCCCTAGAGTACTAAGATGACCTGTGTCTTTCAGACTTACCCCTGCTGTAGAACCTAGTGTGCTTCCTGGATCTTGGAGTGTCCCTATCCCTAGTGTACTAAGATGACCTGTGCCTTTCAGACTTACCCCTGCTGTAGAACCTAGTGTGCTTCCTAGATCATGGACTGTCCCTATCCCTAGAGTACTAAGATGACCTGTGCATTTCCCACTTACCCCTGCTGTAGAACCTAGTGTGCTTCCTGGATCTTGAAGTGTCCCTATCCCTAGAGTACTAAGATGACCTGTGCCTTTCAGACTTACCCCTGCTGTAGAACCTAGTGTGCTTCCTGGATCTTGGAGTGTCCCTATCCCTAGAGTACTAAGATGACCTGTGCCTTTCAGACTGCCAAGGGGGGATCCTAAAGCACTGTCCTTTAGGGGACCAAGAGACTGTCAACCAAAGCAAAAAGAGAAGAACTGACATTCAATTGCAGTTCAATTCATTAATTTCATAAAATACAAAGATATAATTTTTAATAAAATTGTGTCTGGGAAGTCGCATTAAAAAGCTCATACTCAAGTAGTTGTCAACAGTGCGAGTACTCGTCGCAGCCTTCCTAAATAGGTTTTAACTGTGAACTGAAAAGAGACTATTATCTGCATGATGCCAAAGCATCGTTTGTCAGATTCATCTATGTATATCCTAGAAAGATGTGCTACTTACAGAAGATAATCCTTGATTCTTCTTTCCTCCATCTTTCTTCTCCTTCTTTTCCTTCTTCTTTTTCCCCTCCTTCTTTCCAGTCGACGCCCCTCCTGTGGCTTTGGGTTTATCCCTCTCCTCCTGGACCATCTTCCGGTAGAACTCATCACAAGGGTGGTCCCAGGTACTCTCACCGCTGGTGAAGTTGAAATAGTAGATGTCCCCTCCAGATGTGTCTTGACTGCAATACAAATACATTATCAAAATAAATACCAATTTCTATAATATCTTGATTAAATAACACAATTAATTTACAAGGGCCCATATTTATTGCCTAAATATTGTCCGAAAATATTGATAAAAAAGATAATGGACAAGCATTGTTTCAGGGTTGAAATCATTGCAATGTCCGGACCCCCCCCCCCCCCCCCCCCCCCTGTCTTGCAGCAGTCCACAATAATAATCTGAAATGGGAAAATTTGTTCAGGTTCACTTTTGATAAGCTACAAAACGGAGCTGTAATGAAAATAAGTGACCAACTATATTTGTTGGGTACATGAATGGTCATACATTTCTTTCAAAAAAAAATGAAATTACCTGTAGACAAGAAATTTAAAAAAACTGCTTGCAAGAGCAGTAATGGAGTAATGGAGTTGACAAATTTGTGTTGGACTAATCAATTCTTTAACTTCAATATCTATTTTCAGATTTCCCAAAACTTTCATGAATCTGTTTCTCTCATTTTGTCTACTCTTCATTTCCCCTTTTAACTGGAAGCATTGATGTTGTTGTTACCATGGTTTCCAATCAGCTGGTAGTGGTGCACTGATGCCTTCCCTAGCAATCCACATCAAATGAGGTTCTGTGTCTGGGTCTATGCCTATCACTGTGGTGGCATATTCAACAATCTCTGCAATTGGAACATAAATAAATTCCATCACAATATCTGATATTTTTTTAATGATCAAAATGATGACATCTCGCTAAACAAAACAAACCTAATAGCGTCTCCTTTATGTCGCCTCTCTAAAGGTAGTATAGGAAATGGATGGACTTATTATTATCATTATTATTATTATTATTGGTGACATATTACGATTAAAACAAAAAGCCTATAATCAAATGTCAACTGACGACGATGATGATCTTGACTTACAAGCCCAAAAATGTAATTGGATCATCTTCCTATAATAATACCATCACCATGTTTGAAGCTCACACCGAAATAAGTTGCTGACATATTGTGAATAACAAGGGTAATACCTATAATTTAACAAATTGACCTCTATGACCTTTGTTCTACTTACCCTAAAATCTAACTAGGTCATCTTCTTATGCTATGATGATACAAACTACATGTATAACAATGTTTGAAGCTCATACCTCAAGTTGTTCTTGAGATATAGTGTACAAATCGTGTACAAGAATATAATTAACTTCTGTTTTTCTCCTAGATGCCTTTTTCTTTGGCCTGGGGGCACTACTCAAAATATATTATGGATAGCATATTATTCTAGGTCTCCTAAAGAGAATAGACAATCCTGAGTCATACATATTTGAAAAATTGATATTTTAGTAACTTGAATTTTAGAACAAATGGGAAAGTTTTCCACCACTACATCACAAGGACATTACTGATTCAGCCAATTTGAAGAACCCATGTACATTTTTCAAAAATTCAAAACTGTCTCTCTTTTTGTCCGATTCTCTTCAAACTTTCACCAGTCTACTTCTCTGGTTTTTCTGCTTTCCTCTAGAGTAGTTTGCTACCTAGGTTGACCTTCCCTTTAATGATTAAATTGCCTTAAAGTGTTCATCCATTACCTCTGATGAACAGATCTCATTATCATATGGATAATTGAAGTAGGATTCTAATATTCTAACCACTTTTTGAGTACCATTTTGAGAAAAACCAAAATATTACTTGTAACTCCCCGAGGTTCAGAATCAGTAAAGAAAGGTTAAGTTCTTATGTACCCTTAGACCGCTTTCCTAACATATATTCAAGATTACGGCTGTTTCTTCTTTCCTGGGGACCTAGTGACGAGTTAACCTGTTATTAATAAATAAAGTACAATACTTGGAATCCAGTCTGCATACATTACTTGTTGCCATGTCGGGCAAGCATTGGGCAAGCTTACAGATTGCCAAGATTAACCTTTCTTTAAACAATATGCGTAAATTATGAATCCGTTAGTAACTACCAGTTTATTGGATATTAAGAGCATTGATCACATTTGAGATGAATTACCTCCTTCTGTGGGGTTATAATTCTCATCATAATCCTCTTCTAGGATTAGTTGATCTCCCATCATCTTGACCACCTGCCTTTGGTCACTCCATCTACAGAAGAGAAGAAAAGGCACATGGAAAATATGTCAATTTGTAGGTGGTTTCCTTTGAAACTTCAAAAAGCATGTGATGTTTACTGACAAAAAAAAGTATTATTTCTAGGACCCAGCTAGGAGATGAATTACCGGTAACTGAAATTAGATAATTTACATTGCTAACATGCTGGCCTATTTCGAGAGTTTGATTTGTTTGGTCCCGCTTTGAAATGTAAAGACATGCAGTGTACACACAAAAAACAAATGTTTGCGCTGCCAATTTGGTACAAGTTTACTTCATGACAATGATATCGATCAGTTACGTATAACGGCGATGGATAGAGTTTGCTGAATTCAGTGTGCTCCCTGCGCACAGGCATTTTTACACTACCGATAATCGCTATTATCGTAAAAGTACCAAATTGGCAACGCAAAAAGTTTTCCTGTGTACAAACTACAACGGGTGTCTTTGCATTGCAGCCAGAACCAACAAAGCGACCGCTCGTAAGAGGGCAACGTTTTTGGAATGTAAACCACATAATAATACATCTACTATTCTTCGGGAACACATAGAACTAGATGGTAAGCAAATCGCTATCACAGCGGTATTAAAATCTCTCAATTTTGTTTAATTCTTGACCTATTTCAAAGTGCTTTGTATAAGAAGAAAGAAGAGTTCACTCGCGAGTTTCGAAGCCCGTGTGCAATGTTCATCAGGTGCGGGAAGGGGCGATTACAAAGGCATTTTAGGTTTTGTTTACCCTACCTCTTCACCCAGGGCAAGGGGTATATTCCGTATGGGTGCCGATTTAAAGTTAGGGCTAGTTGATCAGTAGGGTCTCTCAATTAAATTCAAAGCCGCTTGAGCGGATCAACCAATGGGGAGAGCGTAAACTCACTGTGCAGCGCTCAATGCGGAAAGTTCTACAGTTTGGATCGTCTGCATAAACAAGGATTTCCTTGTATACTCAGACAAAACACGTCCTAAAAAATAGGGACCATCCACAGATTTTTGTGGAACTCTTTTTTCTTAGGCACTCTGCAGGTGTAGGGTTCCCCGATCGGCACGCTGGTTGTCCATCTTTTACAGGATGTCCATCCTCCAGAGGATTTATTGTTTCTATCTATTATTACGTGACTCTGTGCTCCATCATGGAGCGTCATCGCAGAATCCGTTTTTAAAATCACCAATGCGCAGATCGTTCATAAACTGCAGAGACGCCAAGTTCAAAGCGTTTTTTCTAAATCTAGTGCGCGCGTCGTGCGTAAGAGCATTTTCTTAGTTAGACAGCAATAACCATCTGATTTGGGTCATTTCTTTAATAAAACTGACATTTGTTGTCATTCCCCAATACAGATGGCAACCCAGAGATCTCGTACCGTGGGGATGGCTATGTTACTATATGTACATATTTTCGTCCATGACATTTTCTCCCAGATTTTCTTTATTTAGATCTAATTTCCTGATTTCTAAATCAGATGTAAATTAGGTCGGTATGTCATTTGTCCTAATTACAGTTATCAAAATTTGATAACTCAATATTAAATTGATAATTTACGGACTTACTTATATGAATTATCCAATTTGTATCTCCAAACGTTCATGCACTCGGAACATAGGGCTATATGACCCAGCGGCCAAAATATTTCCGTGTCAACCTACCAAAACATAGCCAAATGGCCAATCAGAGCACTCGTTTCGTGGGAGTTCGTTGGTCAAGCTGGGCTTACTCGTACGTAGCTACGGTAGCTATTGGACGTTCGAAAAGAAAAAAATGAATATTCATCAACTAACACCAAGACGGATAATGTTGACGACGAGACTTTCTCGGATTAATCATTAATTTAGGATCTAAATGAGCAAGCTATCGTAAGTCAAATAAGCTATATATATGTTATTTTTAATTTGTGTTATAATTGCAGCAGTTATGAGGATGTAAAGAGTGAAAATCTCGTTGCATATCTCATTCATCGCGGTCCGGTCGAACCGAACCATTTGTTCCGTACAGTGCCTCACAGAAAGAGGTCCCCAGACTTCAGTCTCTGTAATCGGAGGTCTAGTGGAGCCAGACGTAGTCTCAGTGGAACAACCGACGATTTCAGAGACTGAAGCTTTCGGTCTATTTCTTAGTACACTAGGGATAGGGACACTCCAAGGAAAAACTGTGCGCCATCTACACGTTCGTAATGGCGTTATCACAGTTTTTCCTTCATAATCATTTTTGCCTTTGGCGTAGACTAGAAGGGATGAGATTGATTTAGATGACTCCGGCAGCGAGAGTTTAACACGGCGTGCAAGATTTTCAACATGGATGTCGATTTTGACCCATAATTTCCTTAAAAGGGACCATTAAACGGATTATTTCAATCAAGTTAGTAAGTGGAACCGATGTATTATAGCCTAGGCCTAATTTACATTTGGATATACACGAGGTAAAATGACATTTTGGGGGATTTTGGGGGCAAAACGCTACGACCTGAAATGGCCGTGGCGTTATCAAGGGAATGTGTAGACTAGTATAGGCTAGACGGTTTCCGTCTCTAAAGAGAGAGCCGGCCGACCCTACCCCAATAAGAGGCTAACGAACGAAATAGACGGAAAATTCGGTCTAGTCTAGAATAGGATTAGGAATAGAATTTACTAGGCCAGTAGACTAGATCTAAAAGTTAGACCTAGGGGATCTAGAGTCTAGATCTAACGTTAATCAACAAACAAAATTCAAAATCAAATTAAAAAACAAAGACAGAAAATGAAGGGAAAAAACCTTAAAAATGTAATGAAGGGGATTCAGCTATTACATTAGCGTAAGATGCATCTACTGATTCACTCATATGCTTACACATCAATACAAAGCAATGACACTTGCCCAATATCGAATTTCTTCGAAATCAGATTCTGAAATGACGTTTGGCTTTGGCCGGTTGGTTAGCTAGCTAGCTCCAGTCCCACACGTTCAAAAAAAAATCCAGGATTTTCGAGGGCAGACGAAGAGTTAAATTACAACAACAAACGGCACAAAATGATAGAATTCGGCATAAGGCTTCATTAAATACTCATCTTTAACTGTAAACTTACCACAGAAGACCCAAAACGCAAATTTCTTGATTATTTTTTTATTCGCCAGTAGAAGTCATCGAAATCCAAGTTTGAGTTCGTTGGTAGAAGTCCGTGCGCGTCTGTTTACATTTTCATTTTTAAATGTTAACCTCTTCTCCAGTTTTATCTGTACGCATCAATGATCCTTGGCGCGGCCTCCTCGATAAACTACCTCCATCCCGCACATAAATGTGTGACCGTCCAATTCATGTACTAATTTTGGCTGCAAATTGTATAAAAGAATTAAGCTTACCCCGTTAAATCAATAGATGATAAATAAAAATAGAAAGTTACTTGAGAGTAATTATACACTTATAAGCGGATCCAGGTGGGGCCCGAATATCGGCCGCGCGGCCGTCGAAAATGAGAAAGCCTAATTCCTCACTATGAAAAACCTTTAAAAAAATGATAGTGTCCTTAAAGGCTTAGGGAGATATTGTGTGTGCGTGCATGCTGGTCAAAACAGAGAGAGAATTCCAACGGATAGGGGCAGCTATTTCAATTAATTCCTATATATCCCAATATATACGCGGCTATATATATCTTCAAGATTCTGAATTGCTAAATTAACTCGAAGACACCTCCCCCCCCCCCCCCCCCCCCCCCCCGCCGCCTTATACAGCCAATTAATATTTGAAATAATTACACCAGAAATACAATTTATATATTCTACACGTAGCGCGCCGCATGTATAGTACCGTAGCTCCGATCATGTAATGACCTAGCTGCTCGGCCCCTCTCTCTCAATTTTCTCTCTCCCTCTCTCTCTTTCTCATATCAAACTTTTAAGACTTCTTGTCACTACTTTCGCGTGTGTCATCCTTTCCCAGCTGCACTATGATCAATTATAATTGATCATTCCAATGCTGATATATATCTCACTTCACTTGCATACATTTTGATCTGACCCGACCATCTCTCTCTCCCTCCGTCTTTCTCCAGTCTCTCTCTCTCTCTCTCTCTCTCTCCGTCTTTCACCAGTCTCTCTCGATCTCTCTCTCTCTCTCTCTCTCTTTCTCCAGTCTCCCTCCGTCTTTCTCCAGTCTCTCTCTCTCTCTTTCTCTCTCTCTCTCTTTCTCTCTCTCCCTCTCTCTCTCTTTCTCCAGTCTCTCTCTCTCTCTCTTTCTCCAGTCTCCCTCCATCTTTCTCCAGTCTCTCTCTCTCTCTCTCTCTCTTTCTCCAGTCTCTCTCTCTCTCTCTCTCTCTCTCTCTCTCTCTTTCTCCAGTCTCCCTCCATCTTTCTCCAGTCTCTCTCGGCTCCCTCCGTCTTTCTCCAGTCTCTCTCTCTCTCTCTCCCTCTCTTTCGATCGATAGGTCTCGATTCCTCCACTCCCCCCCCCCCCCCCCCCCCCCCATTCATTCTCACCACACCCTCACAAACTTCTTTGATCAGAGTCACATTCCTGTCCCTCTTTTCACACTGGTTTTGCTTAACCACGTACTGGTGGAGTTAAGGGTGGGGGGGGTCTTAGCCCCACCTATAGTACGGGGTTAAGCCTATTCCACTTTCTGTTCAGACTGGCTTTTACCAAAGTGGGCTAAAGTTGGCTAACCCCACCTATAGTACGGGGTTAACGAACCCTGCAAAATAGCAGGGCTAACTCCGCAATTGTGGTGCTAACTCCTGCTAACCCCGCAATTGCGGTGCTAAGCAAATGAATGAGAACAGAAACGAAAAATAGTCCGGTACTACGCAATGGAGCGTATCGCAGCAGGCCAGATGCGAAGTAAGGAGCCCACTGTCCAATCATAACATTCACGATATCCGGGGCTAACGAAGAGTGGGGTGGTACGGATTTTTTTGTTTACCCCCCCCCCCCCCCACCCGCCCGTCCCCAAACGTTTTTGCTCATTTCGCCACTGTCGGTGTCACCATTGCGTACCAAACCCCTGAGCTTCTGGGGACTCCGCCCCGTGGACCCCACACCATTTTGTGTCCTGCCAGTGTCGCAAATAAGGTATCAAAATATGCTCATCTGACCAAATTTATTGCCCAAAACCCCTGAGCTTCCGGGAGTTCCGCCCCCTTGACCTCACGCCAATTCGTGACCTGCCAGTGTCACAAATAAACTATACAATATGCTTATCTGAGTATAATGTATAAAGTCCTTGATCTTCTAGGGGCTTCTCCCCGTGGACCCCAAGCCAATTAGTGACCTGCCAGTGTCACAATTAAATAAGGTATCATTATGCTCATCTGACTGTAATGAAATGCCTAAAACCCCCGAGCTTCCGGGTGCTCCGCCCCCTTGACCCAATGCCAATTCGTGACCTGCCAGTGTCACAAAATAAGGTATAAAAATATGGTCATCTGACCGTAATTATTGCCCAAAACCCCTCAGCTTTCGGGGCTCCGCCCCCTGGACCCCACACCAATTTTTGTCCTGTCAGTGTCACAAATAAGTATCAAAATATGCTCATCTGACCGTAATTAAATGCTTATACCACCTGAGCTTCTGGGGGCTCTACCCCTGAACCCCCGCAGGGGCTTCGCCCCTAGCCCCCCGCCCACGCCAATTTGTGTCCTGCCAGTGTCCCCAACCCTAAGAAATCCTGGATCCGCGCCTGCTTTCAACTAGTGCTCTTTTAATTTCCTTTTGAACAGAAACCTTCCTATTCTTAAGTGGTGCTCTTTGTATAATGGACCATTATAATGATAACACGATATCGACTACATATATATTTCTTATTCCAGTCATATATATTTTATGTAATTGGAAATTTCACACAATTATACATAATGCGCTTTTTACTTTCATTTATAAATAATTGTTGAATCATTTGTAAGCAAATACATTAGTTATGAGAGGGTGCATGGTATGATTAGATATGTGATTGAAAATTCCTTTATTACTAATTTATTTTTTAATGACAGATAGTAGTTTCACTTTTGTCTAGCTTTGGAATTGATATCAGCTTCATCCGCTGATGTATAATAGGCAATCGCAAAGATTATTCGTCATTCGAGTAAGTTTAACGCGAAAGATCTGTATCGACACTAATGCCCATGCAATCTGAAAATAACAAAGTGTCGATCGCTGGCCTTTTAATGAACTCTTGTGATTATTTATCTCGAATAAAAGTATTGGATCGCGGATACGCGAGTTTTCGTAGATTTGCTTTAGGTTTTTTTTAAAATAGAAAGTGTCAGTTTAGCTGGACCCGAGACTTTGGCGATAAGGGGGGGGGGGGGGGGATTTCACAAACGTTACATCCGTTCCTTCTGGAATTAGGGCTTGATAATTTACGGAAATTCGTGTATAACCCGAATACGCGAAGCCCTAATGGAACGAAGAAATCCCACTGAAGTAGATATACACGTGTATGATAATACATTTATTTTTATATTTCTGAATCTTAATCAAGTTTACTCGCTAATAATCAGTTGTTCTAAAAAAAACGATGACATAAGCATGGACCCTACTACAGATGGACTAATATTGAGAGTCTTTCTTTGATCACATCATGTCCACCGCAACCTGATGATGAGGACATTCATGTGACGCGACAATGTTGATTATGTAATCACGAATCATCACAGACAAAGGAACCTTTTTACATTTCCTCAGATTCTTTTCGCTGGGCCAGGGCTCAGAGTGTAGTTTCAGGAAAATATCCTGATTTAAGACCAGTTAGAGAAGCATTGAACCCCAAATTATGACAATTTGTGTGATATTAGATTGATGATTAAAGAAGTGGACACTGGTGGACTTACATCTGGACTTGCCAAACTTTGAACAAAATACATATTCTTACTGTCCTATTACCTTCTATAGAGTACCGAAGCTGTGACATCATAAAAATCTATTTTTGGAATTTCTTCATTTTCTCTTCATTTTCCGAAAGGACAAAAAAAACAATGTTCAAATGTCAAAAACCAATTGAATATGTTAAGTATTGGCTGAGATATGACCATCTAAATAAATCGATTTCCTATAGGAACTCAGTGTTATATTGCTCTGGTTTTTATTTCTGGTTTTATCTCCCAAACAATCATTTTCAGATCACCTTCGCCTATATCACTCCGCACTATCATGTAGTTTATTGAACTTTTTATGTAGATAGCTATACCGCCACCAGTCCGATTTATATCTTTACGTATGAGATCGAATCCATCTATACCAATTTCAGTATCACAAATATTCTCATTTAAATGTGTCTCACTAAGAGTCATTAATTCCATGTCAGTTTTCTTCATTAGTAATCGTATTTCATCGAAGTTCTTTGTTAACGATATACGATTCAAATAAGCTATTTTCATTCCCTTCTCAATGTGAAATGATTCCAATTGATCATCGCTGATTATTTTTTTTCTCTGTGACTTCTACCCGAGCTTTTTTCCTGTGATTTCAAATTTTGTTCTTCAGTAAAAAGGTTTCCAGGGAGTTCGTTAAAGTAACACTTTGGACATCCAGTCATCGGCACTTAAAAATACATCCATATTTTCATGAGAGCACGTAAGGTGACACCAGTTGGTACATTTGACACATAGGAGTGCATTCTGGTTGTTATATACATTTTTGCGGCAAATAATACTTGGATACTTAATTATTCTACGCCTCGAACAGTTCCTATAGTTTATCAATATCATGTCTGGAGTTGATGTGAACACGTTTTTTTTCTTTGGTGCAGGCAGGGGCGTCTCCAAAGGGGGTGGGGTTGGGGGTTGAACCCCCTTCGGTATTTTTATGTGTGTAAACCCCCTCTAACCCCCCCCCCCTTTGATTTTTTTTTAATTATACAAAAAAAAAAATATATGCCCATGGCTGACCTAAAAAAGGTGACCTTACCCCCCCCCCCCCCCCCCCCCCCCTACAAAGAAGGTTGAGTTTCTGCCCTTTCATACGACACCTCAATCAGGAAAAATGAGCAAGGAATGACAAAGTTCTGTTTGTTTAAAGTAGCCATTACATTTTCATAATTTTAGCAAACAAATTCGTTTTCACTGGCTGCCTGTCGTGGCAAAAAGCAGAATAAGCCAGTTCACGGTTGCAGTCTGAGCATGAGCAGATAAAGGTCATTGCAGAACAAATTGTGAAATACACA